CAAAAAAAATCTATTCTTTTTGGTGGAAATCTGCACAAAATGTGGTAATAATGGGGTATACGTAATAAGAAGCATTATTACCGGCATGAATAGCACACCGTGTACAAAGTGGTATGGATTATTACCGGGCGGTAGACATTTTACTACATGTTGTAGTACATCCGTCATACATCACGGTATTAATTTTATCCGAAAAGTGTTCTTTATTACCACTTCGGGTTCAATCAATTTCTTTACCAGCTGGTGGTTATTATTACCGTTTCTGCAGAGTCATATACGTGTGCATTTTGGTAATGATTTGGTAATGATTTTATTTAGAGTGTGGTAACTAGTGTTTTATTTTACATTCAATAATATTAGAATTTAATAAATTAAACAAGTATTTCAAACATATTCACAAGTAACAAATTATTACACTGGCACAAATTAAATAATTTTTTTCATACCTTATGCACTTTTACAGAAAAATCTTATATGTATTTAACACCGTGATGATCTAGAATATGAGTAAATCTTTAAGTTCAATTAACTTTGCAACAAGAAATTTAGTAATAATTAAATAGGTTGCCGGGTCGACAAATCCATATTCGTCAATTTTGGCTGGGTCCAGCGTCGAATTTTAGCTGTACTGGAAACAATAAGTTTTCAAAAATAAAAATACGCACAGTAAAATAATTGCAATTAAATGAGGGCAAATTAATATGTGTTACATATATCAACGTACCTGAGTCAATAAATTGGAAGTACTTAGTAGTCCTTAAACTTATTAAAAAACCATTTTTTCTCTTGAAATTAATTGAACACACCAATTAATTTGTACATTTTGTTGACTTTTCGTGGAGGAGGAAGGAAAATGGCCGCCAGCAGACTCGTGCACAAGGAAGAGACCAACCGACACAATTTGGTGTGAAGTCCAAGTTTTGCTTGCTGCGGTAACATCGCAACGTGTCAATTCGAGACCATTGCAGGAATATCGCTGATACCGGCAGGCCCCGTTCTAGGCGATGTGGCGCCCTAGGCAAAACGATAATGGCGCCCCTACGTGCTCGCACCATCGGCGCTCGAAAACACTTTTATGTACTACACATAACTATATAATCGTACACACACTTGCATGTTACACTAATTGAATTTACATAAATCAGCAGATTTTAGATAAGTTTGATTAAGTATCTTTAATTCCTGAAAACATAATTGAATATTATTAAGGAACAGAAGCCACATTTCTAAGATTTCGAAGATTTCTAACTTTTTGAGGCTTTGCTTATTCAAAACTTAAATCATACAACAATGGAGAAGCGTAAGCTTGTTATCCCCGAGTTTGATGCAACTAATTTCAAGTTGCTCACGCTCAGAAAATTAGCGGGCACATACTTTTTCGTTTTGCTGAATCCGCGGGATTACGAATGTGGTAGAATTTCAAAATAAAATTACAGCCAATACCCGGTTTTTTAATCCTATAAATGTTACAATTTTACCATTTTAAAAATTCAGTACAATTTTGCTTAGAATTCGCTGAAATTAAACAATTTTTTTTTTAATTTTGAAGAGTTTATGCTACAAGTTCATGCTACGAGGGGGGGTAGAAAATTAATCGGTCTCGCCTTGAAGGAGAGTCATTTTGCCCCACTTTTCTTGTTGGAGTGAAAGATAAACTAATATGTATCTCAGATCTCATAGCTTAAAAATTTACGGTCACGGCCGAGTCTACGAGGTCGTCAGATGTAACCAAAAACACCGAAACAATAAAAATTGCTAAAACTGAGCCCAGATTTGATACGTAGATTTAGACCTTCAAAATGGAAACAAGTACTGCTTTTTGCATTTAGTCACTGGTCAATAACCCTGGGTTGATTTTTATAGTCCTAATAATAAGCCATGGAGCATGTAGTGGAAGTATTCATCCATAAAGGCGGAAAAGGGAAACAGAAATAGCTATTTTGGTAATGGCCTCCTATTTTGATACTTTATGGGACTTCTGCTGTTGGACGTTGCGGCTCCGAAAACGGCCAAACCTGGTGCTTATTATATTTCGAATAATTAAGCCAAGTCGTTATAGAGAAACGACAAGGACCAAAATCACGTCGCTCACGAAAACCCTCACGAAGAATTTCAAGTAAAAAATCCAAAGTTTCGAAGGGTGCCATTTTAAGCCAAAAAATGTCAAACTTATTTCATCCTCCTTACAGTCTACACCGGGCCAGGGTGGTCTGGAATATTGAATTTCTTGGCCAAAACCTATTCTCATCGACTCGAAAATGAAGTACCCTCATCAGTACCTTTGACATAGATGTTCAATTTTGCAAAATTTCATTTGGATAGTTCAAGTGGTTATGGCGTGGTGCATGCCTAAACTTGGCTTACAACATTGGGTTAAATGGGAAAAACTTCAAGTTGAAAATCCTGTCTAGTCCTGTGGTATTTCTAGGAAGTGTAAATACACTATTAATCCCCAATATCTCATCTACTAAAACTGCTGCAACCAGCTGCAACCATCATATATATCAAAAGAAATTTGAATTTATGTTAAGACAAATTGCGGACGCAAAATATTTAGAGTGCTGCAATCCTAACTGTGTATGAAATTTTAGAGTGTTCCAAATAACACAATTATTTCGAAATATGTTAAACACTATTTGGGGAAGGTAGCATTGCAAAACAAATCCCTCTAAAAAAATTATTACGGTGGGGAGCATTTTATGAAGTGGTAGCCCCTTGAGGAGTCATAACGAAGTTTTTAATTTTGGGCTTATTTTCACGGTTAATGATGTCTGAGGACAGAAATAGTTAAGAAAATAACCGAATATTGTCATTTGATGAAATTACGTCTCGCAATCCATCGAAACAAAATTTCTAAATTTTTATTTTGACCACACCCCCTGGCCGTGGGTGTGCCGAGAATGTCCTAATGTTAGTCGGAGTTATATAGAGCTTGATCAGACCTCTCAAATGACACCCCACTTGATGGGGTAACGTGAGAAAATAATTATTGGCCTTTGACCACACCCCCTAGAGGGGGTGGTTTTTAATAAATGTTGCATAAGTTTCATCCCCTTGAACGTTATACCTAAATTTGCGAAAGCAGAATTAGAAAAAAATGAATTGTTCGAAAGTTATAGGTTTTGGCAAGGAAATAAGCTAATCCAGACCACTGTGCGGGCCTCTATTGACCAGTGTGTATTTCTACATTTTCAAAAAAACCTCAGGAGGAGTAGAATTTGACGATAGAAGAGGCGAAATCAGTAGTTTTGATTTTTTTCGAAAACTATTTATAAAATCGGGCTCGAGTATTTGAAATTTAGCGGACCAAGTGTGTTGACCTCGCAGGGGACTACATTGAAAAGTAGTAGGGTAGGTACTAGACATGCGCCGAGTACTCGGCAGGTTTTGACCGTGCTCTCACTACTCGGACTCGGCCGAGTATTTTCTGCGTGCTCGGCCGAGTATTTCTTAAATTTTTATATGCATCCAGCATTTTACCCGGTACTTACACCGAGCGGTTCAAATCATCCAGCATGTAATTTTTGCAATCAACATCAAACTTACTTGAAAAAGACACCAATGAAATTTGTTAATTCTATCCGGTAATCAACTTTAATCGAAATGTTGGAACAGGAAGAAGAATCAGTAGCTTCACGTGATTCCGTCCACCAGTTCTCAAAATTGAGGTGCTGGTAATTAAATATTATGTAAACAATGATTTTTTGATGATCTTTTTGACAATTTACTCGGTGGCCGAGCCTTGCTCGGTACTCGATTGCCGAGTTTTGCTCGGTGCTCGGCAAACGAGCAGAAACGAGTACTCGTCAAAAATATAGCCGAGTACTCGGTGCTCGGCCGAGTCGACTTTTTCGGTACTCGGTGCATGTCTAGCAGGTACCCCAAATTTATTGCGGGATCATGGCGAGGCCGAATAATTTTCTTCCTCCCCTCGTACAAGTTTTTCTGAATCTTTAGACGCGTAAAACACTCTATTTTTGTTTGATTTAAAAGATTAACAAAAATGGATTTTATAATTTCCAAGAGGCTATTCTTAGCATATTTTTCTTGATCGGGTGAAAATTTGATAAATGCGATGAAAGTTTTCAAAACTCCTGATTGTGGCTGAAAATTTATTAAAAAATTACTCCATATATATGGGAAAAAATCGCATTCAAACACATATGCTTGCTTGTTTCTGCGAGTGATCAATTTTAATTTAGTCCGGCGAAAATCGGAGGTAACCACCTCAGACTGCTGCATTGTAAAGTGTTACGAAGAAATTGCAGTTTGTTCCTAAAATTGAAAGTTTTGCAAGTTAAAATTTGTGAATAACTTACAAATAAAATTTTGTAGCACAGATTTCAGTGAAAGTCAGTTTTTATGTTATTTTCCACAACAAATTTTAAAATTCCGCATAGTCGTTTTTATCTAGTGTGTAGGGGCGCCTCACGGCGCCCCTCGCAAATCTGGCGCCCCAGGCGGTTGCCTAGCTCGCCTATACCTAAAACTGGGCCTGGATACCGGTAGGATGTCAAAGCATTTTTCTTCCTCAGTGTCATTTTTGCACAATATCTTGACACCATTTAATGGAATTGAAGTTGACACCGACGGTTGGTGTTAACGAAATTCCGGGTTTTGTTACCAAGTTGCTAAGAGTGTGTGGATTACTTCAAAAATATGTTAGATCAGCCAATCTAAACAATTGGGTGATTTTCTATGGTTTGCCAGTTACGCTAGGTTTAATAATGCATTGGATTAACATGATACTTCAGCCGTTTACAATATGAAAATTGTTTCTACCGATGGGGTTATTGTTGTACGAAATTTTGTTAATAGCCCATCAACTTATTGCATTAATCTATCAAATATTTTTGCGCGTTTTTCAGCCATGCTGTATAATTTCATCAGTTACGTAAATTGCAATGATTATTAATGTCAAATTAATATTTCCAAATTTAAATATTGCAGGAAAACTTAATTTATTATCTACCCGAATTTCATAATCTTGACAAGGTTAACATAACTCAAATAAATAGAGTCATTGGGCTCATAATTGTCACCAAATTATTTTTAATTTTATAAATTAAGATATACCGACACCTAGAATATCTTAATTCAAGCAGGAACAGCACAACTCAAATCGTCCGTCCAGGAACTAACCCAATCATTTCGTGGCGAATTTATGACGTCGATATCCATATAGGTTTCGTCATCTTTGGTAAATTTTGGCCATAATTTGGCATCCTCGATGGGATTGGGATCGCTGCAAAAAAATGAATACACGATTTACTAAACTCCATAAAATTATGAAACTGCGGAGTAAAAATTTCTAAAATTACCCATTCTTAGCAAAATCGTACCACATATTCACAAATGTCGAGCTAACGGAACGCTCCTCGTCTTTCGTGAACTCCTCCCTATAAAATAAGTAGGGGATTTCGTCTCCATGAGCGACACCTATTCGGACATGGATTTAATTACATCAATGTTAGATATTTAGATCAAATACACGTACAATTAAAAATTAACTAATATTTGTATACCTTTTTCAATGTAATCGGGTAACCCTCCCAAATGTACGTAAACGTTTTGAACCCTAACCAAAAATATTTCATTTCGCGAATTTTTTAGATTTCACGAAGTCCTATGTACATAATTATGCTTACCCATTATATTTAAATAGGTAGAGGAAGGTGTTATTGTTGAGTTGCGAGTGTATTAAAGCCCTCGGATGGAGGGGCGTCTTGAAGTAAACTGCGCCGTATAACTATTCACAAACAAACGATTGTTAGGACGGAACTAGATAAAAATGCTAACTCATAAATTATTATAAATCGATATTTTAAAAATAGATATTTGCTTACCGCAATTAAGCCAGGTTTTTTGTCCGCAAATTTTCGAGAAAGCCTGTTTCCTTTGAAATAGAGTCTCTCAATTGTTTCATGGATGCCAACTTCAGAGTATTTGAAATCTGAGGGATAAGGCAAACTAGATTATAAAATTGTTGACAGATTTCCATGATAACCACGATTTTCAGCGAATTCATATTCATAAGGAACCACATATAGGTATATACATCGGTAAACAAAATAATGATCATCATAACGTACATATGTACCATATGTTTATAAATTGAGTAATATTAACGTTCTCTTGTATGCTGGTTTTGAATTTGAATTTTTAAACCGCAACTTCCCCTGCTTAAATACGTTTATGTAAACAACGAATTTGAAACCTGGTCAACTCCATGTATTTTTTATAAAATGAAGGTTTTATTGATTCTAGAATCGATATTTTACGTTTAAAAGGTCAGGAGATTGAAATTTTGATCTCTTTTTTTCGCTAAGAAAATTGACATAAAATAGATGCATTTTCTCCAGAAAATTGATCAAAAATTAAAACCCTCTAGGGTTTCTAGAAGTAAAAATTAAATGTGTAACTAGGTATATTCTCATGGAAGAAAAAAATCACATCTTTTTTAACCCTTAATTTTGTATGAAAATATAAATTCTACATTTTGTTAAAAAAACACGGAGATGGCCAGGTTTCAAAATCGTGATTTAGACACACTTGAAGAAGGAAAAATTGAGACAATAGTTTGAAACCCGCATACAGGAGAGCGTTATGTAGTTTCTAACCGAAATTTGAAGAAGAAAGGAGTTCGGGAACTACTTTAAACTTGACGTAGGCCGATGCATTTTGCTCTTGGTGCGAAGCTAACGAATTAAAATGATAGTGTTAAAAAAGTTGTTGAGCTGTCGTCTTTAGTTGAACTTAGGCACTCGGCAAGGCATTATGGATTTGTAGGTGACAATCATGAAATGCAGGTCAGTAGACAGGAAGACGGAAGAATATAACAATTTATTTATTGTGCTTCATTATAATTCTTTCGAAACAATGGACCAGTTAATTGATGAATTGATTATCAGATTGCTTCAAATTTGGGCCTTTTGTTTCATTTAAATTATGCCTGAGCTGACACAATGGCTGACCCGTAGCACAGGTACAGTCGACATTTTTCCAAAACGCATCGTGCTCATTAAGACTTACGCGAATGCAATTTAGATCTTTATTGTTTTCAGGATGACCGTCAGCCCAATTGGTGTAATTCAGCAGTTCCCCTGTGTCCCACCACTTTCATTCCCCTTCTACAGCCATGTCCCAACCTGCCAGAAATAGTGACCGACGCCGATCTGTCAAAAACACAATGGGAAATATTTATGAGCATGGACGAATAGTGCATGAAGCGTGACTTAGATTTTGAAGTATGACAAGTCACCAAATTCGTAGTTGATCAAGATATCCTGCTCCTCTTGATTTTGGATAGACGCGAGTTCCAGTCCATGCTGGCGGCACCAAGCCCATGCTGCTTCAGCAACAGGATTGCTCTATTTTTGTAAAATAATTTAGAAATATGGTTCGCATATCGAGAATGTATTCACACCTATGACAGCACGGCATAGTAGAAGGGAATTAACTAGATGCTACATATGTATCTGTGTATATGTTCGCAGATTATGATGACATCAAAGGTGGAATATTTCAACTTTCTTAGACGTAGTTTGGTGAAAGTGTGGTTTTACACACACGAGGGTGGGTCGGAAATTAATCGGCCTGACCACGTTTCAGCAATAAATTTGATTACTTGCCCTATGAATTTTTAATATAGACAGTCCCCTGCGAGGTCAACACACATATTCCGCTTTAATCTCAAATACTCTATCCCGCTATTTCAATGGATTTATAGAAAATGACCAAACTGCTGTTTTTTCCTCTTACAGATGGGTTGGGCGTCTAAGTGTAAACGAATTTGGCCTTGGATAACCCCGGAACCTTTTGTCGTAGCGGGTCAAAATTTTGAACAGACGAGCATGTTATCCTCAGATACGCGTGTGCAAAAATTCAACTTTCTACTTTCAAAAATGCCTCCCCCACAGCTCCCAGAAGCTGCAACAGTCATTTCAACTCTTTCCAAACTCCGTCTAAAAACTTCGGTCTCCACAGAAAAGATTTTCTTTTCAAGTAACCAAACCCAAACAAGTCCATTTGACTTATATCAGGGGATTATACAGGTATTTCACTATTCGAAATGATTTTTATCCCAAATCTAGCTTCAAGGTCCTTTGCATTATCTTGGGCTAACTTTGCCATCTGGGAAGACGCTGCGTCATCCTGAAAAATCACCTCATTTATTTTTTTACCCTACGATTTAGGAAAATGTAATTCTAGAAGTGGTTTTAATACACGGTCCACATAATACTTTGCAGGTTCCTTCACTTTTTGGGGGACTTTGATAAGTGGGAGAACACCACGACCCGACATTGCAGCCACAACCATAAAATGTTTTAAAAAGTTCTCCTCACTGAAAAGCACCAAATTGCTTGAATTTTTTTCGGCATTTGTCGTGTAGTAAGCTCTTCGAACCCAATTAGTAACTTGTGGGGAAAATAGTGCTTCGTAAATTGTCACCAATAACTCACTTCTATTCCTCAACAGAAAATTTAAATAACATTTTTTTGTAAACACGAGCGAGATTTTTTCTGGAACAAGTTGAAATGACTGTCTCAGCTTCTGGAGACTGTGGGGGAGGCATTTTTGAAAGTAGAGAGTTAAATTTTTGCACACAACTATCTGAGGATAACATGCTCGTCTGCTCAAAATTTTGACCCGCTACGACCAACCGTTCCGGGGTTATTCAAGGCCAAATTCGTTTACACTTAGACGCCCAACACTCTGTAAGTTGTTGAAATCTCCTTCTCCTGAGGGTTTTTTAAACTTCGAAGCAGATAGTAGTCACCAGAGCTCGCTGGTTCGGAATATTGAATTTTTTGGCCAAAATCTATTCTCACAGATTCGAAAACAAACCACCCTCTTCAGTACCTTTGACATAGATGTTCAAGTGTGGAAAGTTTCATTGGAATTGTCGGACTGGTTATGGCGTGGCATATGCCTAAACTTGGTTTATAACATTGGGCTAAATGGGAAAAACTTCAAGTTGAGAATCCTGTGTAGTCCTGTGCAATTTCAAGAAATTGTAAATATATTATTAATCCCCTATATCTCATCTACAAAAACTGCTGCAACCAGCTGCAACCATCACATATATGAAGAGAAATTTAAATTCATTCAAAGGGAAATTGGATATGCAAAATATCTGGAGTGCTTCAATCATTTCATGTATGAAATTTTTAAGTGTTCCAAATGACACAATCTCTTCGAAATATATTCCGCATTCCTTGAGGAAGGGTACATGGTAAAACAAACCCCTCCAAGAAATTTATTACCAAGCGGGGAATTTTATGACGCAGTGGTCCCCTGAGGAGCCAAGACAAATTTTTAATTTTGGCCCCTTTGTCTTTGTTAATGAGGTCAGAAGGCAGAAATACTTAATAAATTCAGAAAAATAAATTCAGAAATACTTAATAATATTAGGGAATATTGTGACGCGAAAAAAATACATCCCCAAAAGTATCGAAATGAAACTTCTAAATTTGTATTTTGACCACACCCTCTGGCGGTGGGTGTGTCGATAATGTGCTTATGTTAGTCAATTTTAACAGATTTTCCACCGGATCAAACAATATGATAATCATTTTGAAGAATGGCGCACTAGCTTCATCTCTTGGTTACACTCGTTTATACGATTTATGATTTATTTATGATTTACGATTTATGTAAAATCTTTCAACTTACCCTATCAGATTTAGGAATGTAAAAGGATTTTACGCCTGGGACGCTGCCAATAAAGATGTGCAACGGGTATTCCTCAGAATACGCGGGCGTTGAATTTGCTTTAAAACATAAGTAATTTTTATTAAAGTAATAACTATGTACATGAATATGTATGTAAGTGAACGATTAGTTTTAAAAGTAAACATGCCTAATGCGATTCCGGGGCCAAGCCAGATAGTAAAAATTGAAAACATCAACATATAATTGTCGCAAAAATTTATTCTGGACATGTTTCCGTCAAGAAGCTAGGCTGCTATTAAATTGTAGGTATTGTGATAGCTCTCAGTACTTTGGTGTTCGTATGTTGTTGAGGTTAAATTGAACTGACCAATAAATACTCTTGTCAAGGTAGGTATGCTTTATATCAGGTTAAAATAATTGTTTCAGTATATTAAAGGGTGTTAATAAAGTCCGATCCCATGCATTTTTTGGAGCGTGGTTGTTACAAATTCAGCTGGAACTTTTGAACCAGTGAAGTTATTTATTTCAAATTTTTACCATGGGAGGAACAACTAAACGTGTAAGTCATGAGCATCTTAGAGTTGAGATACAAACATTGCATCAGCAGGGGCTTAAACCTACAGAAATTGTGCAAAAATTGGGCTGCAGCCGCAGAACTGTTTGGAAATGGAAGAATAAAAATTTTGTCCACGACAAAAAGCGACCAGGGCGACCCAGAAAGGTGTCACCTACCACAAAAAGAATGATTAAAAACAGACTTTGCAAGAAAACCGGTAGTTCATTACGTAATTGAGCAAGGGAGTTAAATGACTCAAAACGCTATAAAGAGAAGAAGAAGCAAATTAACTGTGTGACCGTGCAAAAATTTGTGAAAACTACGAAGTGGGGTCACACAGCTTACAAACTAACCAAAAAAACCTCTCATGTCACAAAAATATATCGATGACCGTCTGAAATTTGAAGAACTCCTTCAGAAAAGTGCCCATTTGAGTGAAAAAAGACTTGGTGAAGAATTGCGCAGTCACATCCTTTGGACTGACGAATCTATTATTGAACTATATCCAAAATTGAACCAACAAAATGTTCGTTACAGGACAGAAAACAAATCGGATGTACCATCAAGAGCGATCCCAAAATTCGGGCTTAAAGTTATGGTAGCGGGTGGATTTTGTGCACGTTGCGTGACCCCTCTACATATCATACCAAAAGGCAAATCAGTCAATGCAAAGCATTATATGGAAAAAATATTACCTATCTATTTCGATAGCATGGGGAACAAGGAAATATTTCCGAATGAAAGAAAAATAGTTTTCATGCAGGATGGTGCTATAGCCCATACAGCAAAAGCGAGTTTGAGTCTCATCAAGACGCAAGTTTCAACGGTCTGGAGCAAGGGGGTGTGGGCCGCTAACGGCCCAGATTTGAATCCCCTGAAGAACCAGTGGTCCATACTTAAGGAAAATGTATACAAAGAGCCACAACCCCGGACGAGGGAAGAGCTAGTAAAAAAAAGTTCAAGATGTATGGAATTCGATTTCCAGAGGCACATTGGAAAAATTAGCACAGAGCCTTAAACAAAGAGTTGAGGGCATGGTTAAAGTAAATGGTAACAAGACCAAATACTAAGGTAAATATGTCGAACATTTTTTGTAAGTATCACGGGTAGTTTTTTTTTATACTAGCCTTCACTTTTTTACAGGAAAAATGGGATCGGACTTTATTAACACCCTGTACTTATTTACACATGCATACGTGTTTATTACTTATAAAATAGGTGACAAGTTGATGGATGGGTTGCTTAATTACTTTATTCAACAATGCGAAGCTTTTCTATGTAAAACTCAGATTTACGTGGAAATTTTATGATTTTTATGTAAACCAAAAAAATAAGCATACTTAGATTTCATTCAATTCGAAATCTTTGTATTCTTGCCTGATGAAGACGATAGTGATTGATAGAAAGCTTGTAATTTTCAAATAAAATGAAGTAATACTTAATCCCCACAAACCGGAGAAATGATTGATCATAAATAAGCATGCTCTTGTTTATGTAATTTGCTATAAAATTTTGTAGTAGAAAGGTTTGCACCTAGTCCACACAGTAAATCTACTTACTTCTTGTTAGTATTACGTCATTGTGAGGAAACATAAATATTTTAAAATTTTCAATAAAATTCGAGAATTGCTAGTTTCAACGAACCACTTTCATCTTCATCAAGCAAGAATATGTACAAAATTTCAGATGAAATGAAATCTCAGGATGTTTATTAAGTAGCCTCAGCTACTTATTGTGATCGCTTTGTCCGTCCGTCCGTCCGTCCGTCTGTAAGCAGGATATCTCCAGAACGAGTCAACATAATCAAACTCCGTTTTCGCCATTGTGCTGCTAATTTTTAGTTCTCGGTCGAGTTCGGAAATTGGGTCAATCGGACCACACCCAACTGCGCCAGGGGGTGTGGTCCAAAATTAAATTTAACCTTAATTTTCATATGGGGTGTCATTTTGAACGAAATTTGACCGCGATTTCAAGGACGTTAATATTTTTGACCTCATGACCTTGTGGACGAGGTCACGGGTCAAAAAGATACTTAATTGTCATATGGGGTGTCATTTTAAAGGAAATTTGACCGCGATTTTAGGGACGTTAATATTTTTGACCGCATGACCTTGTGGACGAGGTCACGGGTCAAAAAGACACTTAATTGTCATATGGGGTGTCATTTTAAAGGAAATTTGACAACGATTGTGAGGACGTTAATATTTTTGACCTCATGACTTTGAGGACGAGTTCAAGGGTCACAAATACATAATTGTCGGATACGGTGACATTTTAAAGGAAATTTCGATCGCTCTGACGCTACTTTTTATATTCGTTTGTAAGGGTTTATTTTTTTGGTTTACAAAAATCCTAAAATTCCCATGCCAATCTGAGTTTTACACGTGAAAAACCTGCATTATTAAGCAAAATTTGTGACGCAATATTTTATTTTATTATCTTTTCCTCCAGGTGCAGTCTTTCTGTCGTAGTATAAACTTGAACCTATGAGATTATTGATTGACATATGAGAACAACAACTTCAAAATATTATTCATGATCTCATAGGCTGCATGCAATTTGAATTGTTCCTATTTCTCAACGTAAATATTTTGGATGTCGCAGAGCCGTACTGTGAAATTGCCAGGCCTGGTATGAGCTTAACTGCCGGGCCCTTTCATAAGTTCAATATATGTATTCGATATATAGTCGTTTTCCCACCATATTCTGTAACGAAATAATATTCTACGAGTATCAAGAGTGCACTATTTTCCCAGTTCTATGGGAAATAGTGAAATTTATTGGGTTTTTTGAAAATATCGGCGGGACGGAGAAAATTCAATTATGAACAGCTTACAATGCAAGTGTTTTACGTGTACAACTCAGAACTGGTTGGGACCAATTTTATTTTGTTCACCACAACAAATAAGCATGCCCGTATTTTTTCATTTTTCCTAATGCGCTAATTTGAGCGCGGGGCGCGAATTTTAAAACCTTTTTCAGCCAAAACCTCGGTTTTTTTTAAATTCGGAAACATGTCTCTTCAGAATGACTTACCTGACTTATGAAAAATCCAATTGTCTCGAAATTTGAATTTCAAAATTTTTTGCCAGTTTTTGAAATTCATAAAAATTATAAACTCTTTCAAATGTTTAATTTTTCAAAAAATAATGCATGAGGGAACCTTAATTTCTAAATGTTTATATTATTATGTTTATAAACCTAAATGTGTATATTATTATTATGTTTTCTATATGTTTACATTCAAAACTTCGAAATATGTGCTAAAATATTGACGATTTTTCGTACATGTACATATTTTGCTGTATGTTTCGAGTACTTTTGTAAAAAATATTTTAGTAGATATTTCGAAGTTTTGAATGTAAACATATTTTTCTTCATTTAGAAATTAAGGTTTCCTCAAAATTATATTTCATGAATATCGTTGAAAATTCAGGTTGAAAAACATTTTGTATGTGAATATTTTCAGGTTTTTTAAGAAGATACATATTTTGTGGTATTTATGTACATACATACGCCTTCTGGTAATTACTAATTAATTAGAAAATGTTTTCCTTCTAATTACTAGGTTTTCATTTATGTGACATACATCGTGAACGGTCCCAGTAACGCAGCCACCACCGCCAAAAATCGGTAGGGGATTGATTCACCAGAGTCACAGCGTAGTACTGCCACTTCCTCACCTTAGAACTTTTTACTTTTTCAAGCTATATTTTATTTAATTCTTTTTTAGGTTTAGATGACCCCAACGGGTCAACCATTTGACCGATTTTGCCCACCTTCGAACTAGTTTTGTAACTTTGTCTAATATGCATATGGTAAAATTAAAATTGCAAGTCTATCTTGTTCACGGACGTATATGACGGTCCCATAAGCCCGGGCAGGGGCTAAGACTATAAGTTACTGCATAGCGAGGGTGTAACTATATAGTTATTATATAGCAACCACTCGGAAATTTTCGTTATAAGGAAAAGTCGCTGGTTTCTCAACCAATCGACCCAATTCTTGTTTCCCCTTATAGTAAAGTAGGGGCGATCTTTCATACATTTAGATACCCAGTCATGTAGGTAGTCTCCTTCATACTTAAACTGCGAATCGCAACCATTCACCACCATCAAAACTTTTTTCTGGGAGGTCGTATCGAAAAATCGCCAAAGATAGCACTAGATTAGGTCCGTAATTGATTTTTTGGTCTCTTTATTTTTTTCTCTAAAACGCACCCCCTTGGCTGTAGGAGGCGGTCAAAGTTTTCGAGACCTGTCGGAATGCATACTAAGGTGTACTATAGTTTTTTACCTCACCTTAGAAAAATCCGACAGGGGTGCTTTCTCTGCTGGCCACCCGGCTCTATTCAGGGAGTTCAACACATTTAACTTCACACAATTATCGTAAAGGGCCCAAGTTCCAATCCAAGGTCGAAATTCGGATCTCTTCGATATCCTTAAGCTTCAGAATATTATTTACTAATTCCAACGATTGGGTAGCCAGTAGTAGTCTGAAAATTATAAAAAATATAGATAATTGCTGACTCTCTCTGTATTCCTTTCTTCGAAATTGTTTGCATTTACTTCTTCATGGGTAAAGTTATATTAGGTGGTTGATTCATATTCGCTATCACTATCAAGATCTAATGACAAAAGATAAATTGTTATCCTTTATGAGAGATTAAAATGAATGTAAATTGTTAGCATATTTCGTTTTTATCCAGAATTTACCCAGTGTAGTTTTATTTTTTACTAAACTGGCAATTTTCAACCTAATTATTTAACGGTAAAATAAAAAATCGAGTGGTTTATTTAATAAACAATAAGAACAGAACAAAACAAGGAAAATAAACTACCCCCAATGGTGGTGGTGGCTCACCACCTCACTATAACCCTTCATACCCATTTTTTCCATTTTACCCACTGGGCTGGGGATTAAGCTCAAAAGGTGGGTAAAATTATACAAGCAAAAATGTAAGAATTTAATTTATTCGTGTATCAAGTGTGAAGTCCACTTGTGGCAGTCCGGGAAAATTAATCCTCAACTCAACATGTGCTCTTGACATGAATAAAAAAGTAAAATATTTATTTTGTGAAAATTTGTGGTTTAAATGTAAACAAATAAAATTCCCTGCATAAACAACAACATTGATCTTATCTCGACGTGAAGGTAAGTTATTTGAGCAGAATATATTTTGTTCTCTGTAATTATAGATAAGATTTCCCAATGTTTTTTTTTGCTTTCCAACATTTGTTGTTTTTACTGAACTGAGCATTTTAAAACAGGAAATTTGTGTCACACTCCGTATCGACAATGGAATTCCAACAGGAAGTACAAAATTTGGAACATGTCGCACTAAACAATCCGCTCGTAAGCTATGTAAATAAGTTTAGACCCGATTAACAGCATGAACTTAAAAAACAATACATCAATTATTTTTCCAACCTTACAGATTTTAATGGAAATATTCAAACAGGCCGCAATCCCGTTGAAAACTTGTCGACTCGTTTGTCAATTTTGGAATGAAATAGTCCTCTCCTTACCAAATACGAGACTAGCGTTAGACCTAAGTTCCTACAACGCTCTGAGTAAAATAACATTTTGCGAAATGTCTACCTCATTGGACGCCCGATTTGTTAAAAGGATTAAAGATAGTTACACCGGTTTCCCATTGAACCTAACCCACGTTTGTGATAAGTTTGGCAGCAACGTGCAAGTTTTGGAACTCGACATCAATGAAGAAGGTGCACCTTGGACGAAGCATGTTTTGAAAAATTCCTGTCCGAATTTGACACAGTTGCGAATAAATTGCGGACCTTTGCTGAATTGGGCTTCAACGGATCCAATTCCAGGAGATATTATACCAGCAAAGCAAAATTTGACATCGTTCACGATGAGTTCGAAACTGGCGACTCCGGAGCTTACCAACTTTATTGAGATGGTTATCAAAGCCTCGCCAAATTTGAAGGAGGTCACTCTTCCGTGGGGTTCCTGCCCAGATTTGTCAAATTCTAAGTGTCTCGACTCCTTAACCATCGCGCTGGATTACGTTGACCCACGTGACATCGCCCAAGCGGAGGGCAAGCTTTCAGATCAGTCCTGTATCTTGAGTCAAGTAAGCCACCTGTTCATCTTCATTCATTTGACTGATTATGATAGTCAATGAAAATGAATTTCCTGTCATTTGAATGAAACTGAATGAAAGATTCCGTCATTTAGATGAATGACTGTTCTAATTCACAGTGTGAATGAAAGGGTTTCTCACTAATCGCTAATCGCAAAATTCGCGCCTGGCGCTTAAATTAGCGCACTAGGAAAATTTAAAAAATAAGGGTATGCTTATTTTTTGTGGTGAACAAAATAAAATTGGTCCCAACCAGATATGAATTGTACACGTAAAAGACTTGCATTGCTAGTTGCAACTAAGCAAGGTGTAATAAGTAAATAATTTACCGATAAATACGCGAATATGACATACTTTGCACCATACCTTCCCACCACCTCAGACCTCAATTAGGTCTAACACCGACCTCATATGCAGGTCAAACCAAGCCGAGCGCACGTGCGCTCCATCCGCTGAGTCAACGACCCTTGGGGACATGTTTTTTGGATTCATTTTTAATTTATTTTTTTAGATTTATTTTAAACTTTACTTTCTTATACTTATTTTCAAATTACTATAACCGTAAAATATGCAAAATATTCCCGTATTCTTTTAGGTTTTAAGGACCGTTTTTAATTAGGCACGGGCTTTAATTTAGAAACATCCCGAAATTCATTCTGACAGTGTAATTGTTTTAGCGCCTTTGACAATTTTATATCTATAACAACCAGTTTTTGAATTTCTTAATCATTTGGTTGGTTAGGCGGGGATTACTTTTACCGAATTTTGATCAGACAAATTTTTACTTGTTTTTTACGGAAATAATCTTACCATATTTTGGCGATTTATTGAATTGCCTATTGAAAGAAATTTTTGAATTTTTTAAAAATTACTCCATGTAGTTCTGAACATCAAGTTTTGAAATCAGGTTAAAATTGGGAAAGTTACAACGCTTTGAAAACGTCTGATTTAGGCTGAAAAGATACATATTTAAAAATTTGCACCTGCAAAAAACATGCAAAAACGCACATTCAAAACATCGCAAAAATATATATCAGCTTTCCTTTCTGTGAGCAAACAATTTAAAATTAGTTCGCTTGGGAACATGCTGTTCGCTTAGTTCGCAAGTTCCCAAACCCTTTTCGATTAATTACCTTTTTGTCTCATAAAATTTTGGAAAACTGCCAATTATGTAAATTTGGAATTAGTGAAAATGCAGGTCAAACTCAATTCCATGTAATTCTTAGAACACCAATTTTTTATTTCTCGAGAAATTTGAAAACATACAGTATTTTGAAAATCCAACGTTTTGGCTGAAAATGGTTTTAAAATTCCATCCAGCCGTAAGAATAAAAGACATACAATTGTAAACATTTGGACCTGAAGCAGGCAATATATTTTCCCAAGTTTGTCCCTGGGTTAAGTTAAATTTACCCCCTAGCAAGGCACATTTGAAGTTGTCACAAAGTATATTTGCTTTTAACCAGTTGCAGTCGCATATTTTCGGTTTCAAGAAATTAAGAATGTACCAACCCTTTACATACACAGAATTTCCCACACTCTAACAAAAAAAAGTATAATAGCAATATGCAAAATTTTGAGAAATTTTGGTGTCAGGTAAATTATTTATGACGGAATTGTAACTAAAAATGCGAAGACATGAAGAGATCTCCGATTTTGACCCTGCAAATTTAAAATTGCTAATGCAGAGAAATAATTCGACCCATACCTTTAAGTTTTCTTTAATGCGCCTAATTTAATTAGATGAAGTTTTAAATGAAGTATCAGCTAAAATCAGAATATTGTATAATATGCAATACTAATATTATTAATTAAAATTCGAAAGTCAAACTATTAAATGTAAAAATTACACAGAATATTTGCTCTAAATCCATATAAAAGTGTAAGCCAATGAAATTCATACAAAAATAATTACACATGAAAAACAAATGAGATCTACCAGCTTAAGGTTAGATGTAAGAAAATTTATTGGCGTGGAATAATTTTTTTGTAAAATCTTTAATACTAGAAAAAGTCCATTATATCTAGTGTAAAGCTAGCCACCCGGCCCGGGCCCTTGCGGGCCCCGGGCCTCGTATTTGGTACCACCATATACCACTGTTGTTACGGTACTGCGCACTTCCCTAAGTATGTATCAACAACCAATAATTGATTGTAGATATGTTATGGAGTGGATCTCTGCATATATGGATAATTACACCATTTGTTGATTTAACGGTAATAATTCTAGTAAACTGCCTCACTTGCAGTTTTATGAATTTCCTTCATTTCGTACCGTGCACTGCACAAAATACAGAAGTCACGAAACGCTTACGAATTCAATCCCATATTTATGTATACATACATACATAGTCTTACCATAAGAAGTGATAGTAGAGCGTAGCTTTTGAACGGGTCAACATAAAATTAAAAGGTCAGTTGCGGTTTGTGCATACATTCAGTGCCTATCATTGGTGCTGACCGTTTTTATATGACGTCACTAGGTCAAAAGTAAGAGGAGCTTAACTACATGCGCGCGGCAATAATTTTTCACTTTTTGCACCAGAAAAAAAATGCACAATGTTTGATGTAGTGTAGCACTCCACGTGCAACTACGATCTGGTTACCAAAACTATTAAACTAACCCTAGAGACAGTGTCTATCTTTGGTATAAAGGTTTCGATGGTCTAAGGTCAAGGAGGACTACAGTGATGTTCGAAGCTTTAAAGACCAGAATAGCACAAAATGTCTGTCGGATGCCGGAGACTTTGGCCACACAAATGACCTTTCAACTTTACAAATCAGATGAGCACTGAAAAATGACCCTAAGATGTAGGTCTTTTCGATTAGAAAGCGTCACATGCTACAGATATCCCAAGCCTAAGCAATGGTCAAAAAATCGACCTCTCTCCCTAAACGGTACGGTGAAAAAACCAAAAAAAGTAACCCATTTACCGGTGATAATTTCTTTACGACAGGAACATATTTCAACAAAAAAAATTATGTTTTATGTCAAGTTTTCTAAGGGTTAGCTGATTACAAAATAAAGGTCAAAATGTTATCTTATCAGGCTCCATTCATGGTTTTGGTGGGAATCGGCGGAATTGAGCAAAAACAGCTCAATTTCCTTGATTAAGGAGAGAAGATAGTTTCAAAAAATATTTGATAAACGTCCTGATGAAACTGGAGCACCCCCTCAACTATTCCATATCGGGTGAAAGGCCACCGACCTTTGTGAAGGCGTCCACAGTAGCATTTACAGCGAAATTCGTGAAAAACTGGATTAAAATCCACATTTCTGACTTCATTTGCACTTTAGGTTTAACGTTGGAATTTTCGAACCGCAGACAACTTCACCACCAAATACTGATTACAATTGAGGAAAAGGTCTGTTCTGAACCCCATATATGCGTCAGGGTCGCCAAAAAGTTTCTGACCCGGGAATGACACAATTAATTTCGTGCGTATTTTTGATGGAGCTTTCTCTTTCGTGACCAATTTTTCATGGGCACAGGTGGAATGTATTTTAAAGTTTGATACATGTCTTCTACTTGAAATTTAACTGGCTTTTCAATGGAATAAGAATAAATTTGAAATTCCTTAAAACTAACCTAATATATTCGTCTACTCTACTATCACTTTTTAAGTTGAGACTATGTACATAGAATTATTTACTTATTTATCATACTAAATAAATTCAAATAAAACTGTAGAGGTAATACAGAAATAAGTAACATAATTTTTGCACGCGACATTCTTATAAGTTTTTGGAAGTTGAACATACATACATAAATAAATCAAACTACATTTACAGTTACTTTACATAATAATATACTGAATTTTTAATTTACGGTGATTTATGTATGTATGTATATACACATATCACACTCATGGGTTGGTTTATAAAGTACATAGATTTACTGGTAAGCAATAAGCATACACGTAAAACAGTTCTACTTATAAATATATTTACGTTTGTAATGTGCTGATCCATCATAAACCCATTATGCTCTATTAAGTATTTCTGTAAGCACAGTGCACCTTGGAAATGTTGGAGTTTCATACACTAATAGGTGAGAGTGAAAGGTTTACAAAAATTCTTGAAGCGTTTGTACTGTAGAAAACACACCCTATTACGACCAAAACGTGTCATCAGGCTAATATGAGGCATTGAGCCCAATTTTAGAAAGTACTTCTTATAAATCCTGAGAAGGCGGAATCCCTCAGTTACAATCTTTCTTTACCAAGAGGAAGTCCTATCAAGCCAACAGCTTCCAGGGAATGCATAAGTTTCGACTCGATTACAAGATTTATATAAGTTAGTCATGAATTTGACATTTTTTATAACTGCGTCGATCGCCCTCACAATTCAGAAATATGCGGATAAATATCGGGAAGAGGATTTGAGCAAGACCCTGGCAGATTTAGAATCGGATAGAAGCCTTCCTAGAATTAAGACTTACGACTTTATTATCGGTGAGTACCGATAAATATAAAGTAGACAATTGTTTAGGTTCGAGATGTTTCTTTCCTTTCTACATTGAGCCATATGGAATTTAACTATGCAAGTCGTAATTAATATTATTGTTGCAGTTGGAGGCGGAGAAGCAGGATGTTTGTTGGCTGGGAGGTTATCGGAACATTTTAGCGTTCTCCTACTTGGTGAGTGTTCAAGTTGAATTTGTTTATCTGTGTCGACGATGTGTAAACTAATCAATGATAACGATTTTGATGGTGATTACTATGGTCGAGGAATTAACATTAAAGACATTTTATATAAGAAATGCATCCAAAAATGTCTTTAATTATAATGCCCCGACCATAATTCAATCTACGAATTTAAATGATTTGGCAGAATCTGGTGGGAGCCCTGTACCAGCGACGTATAATCCCTACTTGGATCTTCAAGTAGCCGCCCATCCCGCCATTAACTTTATGTATCCTTCGGTTAGGCAGGAGAATTTTGCAGGAGAAAATGGAGGGGTAAAAATCTCTAAGTCTGATTTAGTGGATGTTGAATAGAATTAAGCGCGGAGTGTTGAAATTTTGAGCTTAACGTCCTGCAGTTTATCACCGTTCCTACTGGGCGAATGCTGGGTGGATCCGGATCTCATAATGCGTTCGTTTACAATCGCGGCTCTCCTTTGGATTACGACCATTTTGCAAATTTAACTGGCGACGAGTCTTGGTCTTATCGGGAAATGTTGCAACACTTTAAATCCTTTGAAAGTTTTCATGGAAAACTCATTCACGAAGAGGAAAGAGCGCGTGAGTGCTGCGAATTGATTTGAAATTAAATGGGGGGTTCTCTCATGAATGTGAAAAGATTTTCATAAATATTTATTATACTTCTAGAATATTACGGTACAACTGGTCCTCTGTTTACGGAGACGGATTGGCCACCATTGGTTGATGGCTGGCTACGTTCCGGGGAAGAATTAGGGTTTCAGATTGGTGACTCGAATGGCTTTCTGGAGGATGGTAAATATGACTTTTGTCTTCGTGTAATTTATTTAAAGTCAGAGAGATGATTTCAGCGTGGACGAAATACACAGTCATCTCATTCAATTCAAATTGTTCATGCTAAAAAGTAGGAGAAACTAATGTGGAGTTATGATATTTGGTTCGCTTGAATATTAAATGATGTAAATTTTCCACGCTTACCCCATCTCGAACTTGTGTGTTTATTCGATAAATTTGTTAAATTTTGAAACGTTCTAGGATTTTCTCCGGAGGTGAAATTAGTCAAAAACGGGGAGCGAGTCAGCAGTTTCACCGCTTTCGTCAAACCATTCGAATCTACCAGAACTTTATTAAAAGTCCTTCGATATTCTGATGTGCAAACGGTAGGTGTGGAAAGCAGTCATCGCAAAGGTCAAATCAATAATCTAGTCTAAATTTTGAACTATAAGGTTCTTATCGACGCTCACAAAAGAGCTTACGGCGTCACCTATTTTCGTCACGGGATTCCCCAAATTGCTCACGCCTCTAAGGAAGTTATCATCTCTGCCGGGACATTTTCCTCCCCGCTACTCCTCATCAGGTCTGGAATAGGACCGAGAGAAGTCCTAACAAAAGCTGGCATACCGGTGACACAAGATTTGGCAGGAGTTGGACAAAATTTTCGAAACCATCCCACAATTCGACTTAGTTTCAACATTGGACGCCCGGACTGGACCTTGTTTTCTTTGCTGGGAGAATCCCAAGTGGAGAAAGAGCTCACCCTTTACCAAAACGGAGACGAACGTAAAGGATTCTTCACCGAGATGGATTTCTCACCGCAAGCATTTCTTGTGTCAAAGGTGGCAAAATCTCGAGGGGAGATCACCTGGCCAGATATCAGGATAATGTTGAATCAACATCCAGCCATGGTTGGAAACGAGTGGACTGTCACTATGGGGGTTGTTCTGACAAGGCCCATGTCCGTTGGTAGGATTGGCTTCAATGTGACTGAATACTTATCTTCAGGTGGTGATTCCGCAGCTGGCGATGTGAAAATGGCAGTTGTTGACCATCGTCAATTGTCACGGGAAGAAGATATTGAAGCAATAATGGAGGGGCTCCGGCTGGGGTTGAAGGTCATGGAAGATACGAGCACGTTCAAAGCCATGAACGTACGCTGGAGATCAGAGGATTCTCCAGTAGCATGTGCGGGTTTGCCCCTTCGATCAGACGCGTACTGGCGATGCTACATAAAACAAAGGGGAGGATTGACGCATCATTTTTCAGGAACCTGCAAAATGGGCCGGAATTCTGATCCGCTCGCCGTGGTGGACTCGAACCTTAGGTTTCCAATTGTTTTTAATTTACATAAAAGTGTTTCATTTTAATGGCTGAACTTAAAACTGATTGATTGATGGGTTTGTTTTGCCATTTTCAGGGTGCGTGGAATTCAAAATTTGCGAGTGGCTGATGCCAGTATCCTTCCCCAACCAAATGATGCCACCATTGTCGCACAAGTGATGGTTACTGCAGAGAAATTGGCGCGAGACCTACTAAGAGTGCATCATCGTCGCTGAAAACACATATAACTTTAATTAAGTTGCGTCGTCGAAATAAACACTTAAAAAGATAGAAAGCCAAATATAATTATTATGTAGATTAATTATTAATTCATTTACGATTCTGCAATTACATCCATAAAATGCAGCACTTTCAATCAGTACAATTATCATACAAGTAGTTCACCATAAACATTGATTATGCAAATAAATATCTTTTTGATATTTTTGCAAGTCATTCCCAACACTCAGAGTCAAAATTTTCAGTAAAAATAAAAATGTAAAAATCGAGGATTGCAATGAATATGCAAAGTTTTGAAGGCTTGAAATCCGATTTGATACATAATCCAGCGCCAGCCCATACACGAGGTTGCATTCCGCTGTGCATGAAAAATTCAATCAAAATGTAATTTTGATTATGGGGATATGAATTGTTTTTAGAATACTGAGGGCTATAAATAGGGTATGCAATACCGGGGTTATTTTGCAAAACCGGTATCCGGTATTTTAGGTATTGGGACCTTCGGTAATACCGGCATTACCGACACCATATGTTAAATATGTATTAAGCTATTAATATGATCATACGAGACAATGCATTCATATGTAGTAATTACTCTGCAAGGTACTAAATGCTTGTTTGTAATGACATGTTACTAAAATGAATACATGTATTTTTAAAAAAAGGTTAGTCATATTGCCCCTTACAAATGGAACTATGGAGGTTCAAACTTCCAAGCGTTGTGTTTCGCAAAGACAAATAATTACTTCTGGGTGAAATTTTTAGCTATGAATTATCTGATATGGTCACTATGTATGTTCACTAGGTTCTTAATGTCGCAACTTTTACAAATTCATCAAGTTTTCTACATACTTACCTTAACAAGTACATTAGCGAAAATTTCCAAAACCTCTCAAATTCTATCATGAATTGAAAAATACATTTCGTATGTATGTAGCATTACTTATAAATGCAAAAGATATTTTTCGTGAATTAAAAAATTGCTGCTTAAGTCGCAAAATTGTTTTTAGTTGACGGCGTCAATTTATCAGATTAATCCCGGATTAACCAGGCTCTGTATGTACATTTGGACGCAGCTTCTTGTCCATTGTGAATCAAACCCAACAAAGTATATACATACATAGGTCAAATTAGTCAATCCGCCCGAACCAAACAGTTGATACGGAAAATCAATTTTTTCTCCTCTTAGGTGCCATTTTCTTGTGAGGGAAGTATGAGCAAAGTATTTTCCATTCTTACCTCATCGTATTCAAATGAAACCTTCCTCAAGTTTGGAAATATTTCATGAAAATGAGCATAAATTTCAGAAGAGAAATAGCAATTGCTGGTGTGCAACTTGGTCAAATTGTGTTTTACGACGGTGGCGACGGGAGGCACTACGAGGCCAGCCTTGCGGACAGAGAGCTTGACGAGTTTATCACCGGAAGTCAAATCGCGGTGGATATCGATGATGGGGATTTCTCTGGTTCGAGATTGTTTGTCATTCAGCTTTTTTAGAGGACCCTTCGTCCAGCAGGAGAGGACTTCCAGGTTGCCGAGGTTGCGAAGGAAGTCGCCCAGCTGGGTGGAGGACGCGGCTTTGACGCCCCACAGCAGGACATCTTTAACGGCAGATCCGGGAAATATCCCTGTTGAAATTGAGGGCAAATTCGAGTTTATTACTACGTTACTCCAAAGTACATATTTTTCCAAAAGTTTTGAAATTCATTTTCGAAATTTTTCCAAAAGTTTATACAAATTCTGTAACGAATACTGAGGGTTATTTGTCCTAACCAGAGTCCGGATATGTATGTATTTTAAACTTTTTCAATAATAACCCGATCGGGTTGAAACTTTTGGATATTGTTCCTGGTTAGGCATAGGTCACACGGTCAAAAAAATGTTTTTACATATTTTACATATTTCCAGGTTTTGGTACATATAAATATGGTTTAACATATTTCGACGATTTTGCCGAAAATGAGCATTTTTTGATATACATAAATATGTTTTTACATATTTCGGCGATTTTTTCAAAAATATATATTATTTTCAATACAAATAAATATGTTTTTACATATTTCAGCGATTTTTTCGCAAAAAATATATTCTTTTAGAGAAACCTCAGAAATTCACAATTCATAAAAAATTCCGATCATCGTAGAAATAATACCAGAGCATGTTGAAATGTTTTTAGTTTGTCACTTTTAAATGTAAAAGCATTTTTTGGCATTTCTGCAGTCAAATAAGCCAAATTTGGGGCAATTTAAAGCGAATTAAAAATATGTTTTATATACATATTTTGGCGATTTGATTGAACATTTTACATAAATATTTCGGGGTTTTTAAGAACATATTAACCGGACTCTGGTCCTAACACATGGAGATTAGTATTTGGCTATAGCATAACGTTAAACCCCGAGATAAAGTGGAATAAATTTGGACTCGATAATAAAATCGAATCGCAAATTTTTGAGTGGATATTTTCGGGGTAAATTTGAAAAATTTAGTTTCGGCGATGTTGTTAAAATTGGAATTTGAAAAAATCACAAATTCCTAAATGTTTATACAGGTCTGCTGTTATGCCAAAATTTTGGTTCAAATGAGTTTCCTTCCTACTTTTTCATTCCTTCCTAAGTACTTATTGGTCCATCCTCGTACATGTCCCTACCATAGATCGGATATTTTGCATACTCCGTACTCCGGACAGCCACGCGTACTCCGGCCTCCGGCAAATCTCGCGTACTCTGGCCTCCACGTACTCCGTACTCCAAAAAAAGTCGCGTACTCCGGCCTCCGGAGGCCGGAGTACGTACTCCAAGCCCGGATTACTCCTATCTATGTATGTGGCATTTATAAATCCACCCCCACCCCCACCCCTACAGACCTCAAGCGACATTAATTTTCGCATCATGGCTATCCATAATTAATGATCATAAGACAAAAGCATTAATTTCCAAATTTTGCCCTAAGCTACATTCCAAATTAATTTTTTTGAAACCCTGACTCACCATCTGGGAGCTGATTATCCACGATGGTCAGCATGTCGAACTTTTCCATAACCTCCTTGTTCATTAACCGGTTCAAGAACGGGATGGAATTGGGTCTGCCAAACCCAACGAGCACCTCCCTCTCGGCTGGCGGCCACTTAAAAAAAGTGCATTCATTTAACGTAACTTCGCAGTTAATGTTCACGTCGTCGCCTTCCTTCTTGAAAAATAAATACTTCTCAAGGTTAAAATTTCTCCTCTGGACATGAACCGCGTCGTCGTTATCTTCATCTTCGTCAGGAATTTCCAAGTTCAAAACTACTTTTGTCAAGTGGGGGAGTAAGATGCGAGGAACATCTTCCTCTCCGGTGCGACAATCCGTCCACACTGTGCATCTAAGTTCGGTCGTGTTTTTCAGAATATTGTTAGAATTCCTGATTTTTTCAATCATTTCGTCCCACGTCTCAGAAACCAAGTGCATATTTTGAAGCTGACACAAGGAATCTTCGCAGTTGGTGGAGTTTTCGTTGTCGTTATTTATTTCTGCGGGTTCCGTTGCACTATCGGCGATTCAAATTTGACAATGCCATACTCAATGTCGATGTCATTTGTTTGATCGTTGTCCTCGTAGTCGTCCTGCGGATTGATTACAGGTGCACGAGGTCTGGAAATGAAGGGCAAGGTGTCACTTATTTTGGATCGTTTGACCTCGTCCGTGCAAACGTAGATGAATAGGTCCTTCATCTCGGCGCTGGTTAGAACGTGAGAGTCATCCACGGTTGTAGTCAATTGTAGTGGCGTCATGAGTGGGAACCGGATTTGATGAATTGCAGAGTTCAAAATATCTCGGAGATTAGACGAAGCAGATTTTTGTTTGTTCTTTCCCCACCTGAAAAAAAACGTGAAGCATTTAAGTCAGGGTTGCAGAAATCTCGTCTCACCTTCATAAATCTCATCTCGCTGAGATATAATGAGAAATAGTGAGACATGAGAAATATAACATATAGTGAGATTTGTGAGCCATGCACTAGTGCCACCTAGCGGACGGGGTTATGAACTACAAGTTTAACTCATTATTTCTCATATTTCTCACTCAGCCCCAACTGAGATGATTGACATAAATCAGTAAATCTCACTAGGTGATATACATATACCACTTGTAACCCTGACTTAAGTGTTAAATTAGTGAATTGGTGAAAATAGTGAAATTGTTTTAGTGATATTTGGCCGCCAAATAATTAAGGCGAAATTTTAGCCATATGATTCCAATTAATTTTAATACCTAACAACCGCCTCGAACAGTTGGATCTCTTGGCAAGCGAGGTCGTCCGATTGTAGTAAATTTACTAAACAATTTTCATCCAGTTCCAAAAAGTCAGCACTGGCGAGATATGTCCTCGCGTTTCGGTTGACTCTAAGAAAATTAGTAAGGAAAGCGAATTAAAAATGAGTTTGAAAACTTAGCTTTGTAACTGTACAAATAATTGAGACACCTGTAAAAAAAGTTACGAAGATCAAACGCCTCCTCTCTCCCTCCCCTCTTTTATGTCAAATTGTCGTGTATTTGTAAGTGGACGTCCATAAATTACGTAACACAAAAATCGCGATTTTCTAAATAGACCCCCTTCCCGCGTTAATATATGTATGTGACACATAGGCACGATATAATTTGGGATTTAGACCCCCTCACGCGTTAGGTAATTTATGGACGGCTCCTAATTATTCCAGCCGAATTTTAATAATTTCTCATGTCTCTCCGTTACCACTCTTATTTCACATTTTAGTCGGTTTGTAATTACGGCTCTACGCCTAATTTTAATAATTTCAAATAATTTACTTTGTTATTCAAATATTTAAATCTGCAATATATTTTCATCCTTTGCCGTAACTAATTCTAATTAGGTGATTAACTAATTAAAAACGTACTTCTCCATGAAAGAGGACGCCATGTCTTTCAATCCAGACAAGTCAAACAGGCTGGCAAAGTTGAGCATTTTGTATGCATTTTTCAGCCGGAGACCATTCTCGAAAAGTTTCTTTGTCATCTCGTCACTCAGCTCGCCGGGGCAATTGCGGGAAGCGAGTTTGAGAATATTGATAATTTCATTGGCCGTGTAGCTCGATCGGTCAGGAAAGTCTTCAGTATGAAAATACTAGAAACAACAGAATCTACATAAGCCGAACCTGAGAATAGAATGTGATGCACTCTTTCATCATTGTAGAAAAAGTCGCATGACCTCCTAGGTAGCATCGGTGCATGTTGCCCCTGGGATAGTTGTACGGATTTCGGAGCGTGCATATTTTCAGCAAAAGTCAAAACGGAAAATTCGACATTTTTTGTTTGCATAATGTATGCGTGTGTGTAATACACATAAAAACATCCAATTTGCTGTCCTGAAACTTGTCGCACATTACCCCACGACCGTTAGCTGTGCCGAAATCCGTACCAATCAGAGGTTCACTCACTAGCTGGAACCTTAACTACCGGATAATTCCCCATTTTTAAAAGCGAATCTGGGGTAAACTCATACATATATACACCAAATTGAAGGTAGGTGTTGGGAATTTTTCCCCCAACCGAATGGTAGGTAAAGGCTACCGACTAGCGGTGCACTTTGACGGTCACGCGATATTTTCTACAATGGACAGGGTAAGGAAAACCCCTGGGTTTTGCTGTGGAAAACCCATACCTGGGTTTTCCGGGTAGTCAGGGTTTTGGGGGTAAACTGAGTCAGTGTCTCATATATTAAGTTGTAAAAACAATCTGCTTTTTCAGCAATTTCGCAACAAAGTGACTTATTAATTCAATTTTAGTATCTTATTAAATTGTAGAATTGCTAGTAAAGCCATGTTACCATACTTTATGAAATTTGAAAACCCCGACTACATGTTGGTATTGATCAAATTGCATACCCCAAAACCCACAAAACTCCGCAAAACCCCAATACCTCAAAAACCCGGGGAAGCATACCCTGACAATGGAGACTCTCCATTGGAGAGACACCGCATCACATAGGCTTAATCTAATTACATATGTACATCATTTACTAGTTTATCTCATGATCTTACCTGAAACAGACGCTTAAAAACTACAGGGTCCTCTGTCACCGTGACGACATTGTTGACCGCTTTCTCATTCACCAACTGTAGTAATTTTGGATAATTGTTCCACCGCATTTGGAGAAAGTTCTTGTGCGAATGTTCTTGTGCGAAAGTTCTTGTGCGAATATCGCCATGAGCGAGTCCTTTTCACGGCCGAACTGGATCTTAAAGTCTCGTTTACAGAATGACTCAAAACGCTTAGCTATCTCCACCCACACGGATGACGACGACGCTGAGCTCATTGCGGACATGAGATTAATTAAAATAAGTAGCTATTCTATAATGCCTTGCTAATCTTTGTATGTATGCAACTACTTGTAATATTGAGATGTATGAAAGTAAACTGTTTCAACTTAACTGGTAAAAAATATGCAATTTAGATAAAATATTTTAACTGTCACTCTTATGAGGACCATTTAGTAACTGGGATATCGGTTATAAGTATTTTCATTGAAGGCTGAATTCAATTTGCTCGAGGCCATGCTAGCATTTAATGGATTTATGATGTATGTATTATGCTATGGTTAAAGCATGTTAGGCTTAATAATAGCAGGAGACATGTACCACCTACACATGTACATAAACCCATTTGTAAGGGTCGAGCTTCCTGGAAACGCACTTGTGTATAAAGGACCTTTATTAAAGGTCCTCAGCGTGTTTTTACCACGTTTTTACTCGAGCTATCTAAAAACTGCATGGGTCTTTGTTCATGAAGGTTTTCATATGTTTGAGTTTAGCATTTCGGCCATGAGTAAATATATGAATAATTGCCATAAAATGCATGGACTATCTGAGGAAGATTCTTTTTGCATAAAGGAGAATTATGTAACAGGATTTTTGTACTTGTAGTTTAAGAAACAGCGGAGCGTATTCGCGCTTTCATGGCGCTGAGTAAAATCCCCGCGTCCAAATTGACGTTCGGTATGACGGAAGAAGTGACGGACGATGACACGTATGAGTGCAGCGACGATGTCGTGGACCCAGATTATGACACCGATTAATTTCATGTATTATTTACTTCTCAACTTTGTCACTTACCACGAAGGTCTCCCAACGAATGCTCACAGATTTAGACCAAAGTATTGTTAATCGATTAGAAATTGGCACTAACTGCCAATGCTCTGGTTTGGCAAAGATGTTTGCATCCGATGAGGAGAAAACATGCGGTAAATTTGGAAATTGTAAAATTATTCAATTTTTGGGCGGATTTTCTCCTCTTTTTATGCAAATATCTCCGCCAAACCTAAGCATTGGCAGATAGTGTCATTTGCAAATTTCATACTAATTAAATTTGTGATCGATTGACAATACTTTGGTCTAAATCTATGTTAGGAGACCTCCATTGTTAGTCTTTTTCGACTAAAATTGATACTTTAGTCCTCAATAAATTGTTAAAATTTATTAGAATTTATATTCAAGTTTAAAACATAATAAAGTTTGCCAGTTTAAAGCATTTAATAATTTGTACTGTCGTTAATCCTTGTAATAAAGTATTAACTAAGCGGTAAATAGTAAAGGTTTTACCGCACAATAATTATTTGAATATTCTAGATACATTTTTAATTAGTACAAAACGTTTCAAATGTGTTTATGTAGCTGATATCTAACAATGTCAGCATCAAAAGAATATCTATTACGCCACACACAATTTATTGCAGAAATTTCAACGCTGGATTTATCGAGTAAAAATCACGTACAATCGTTCACTTGGGGGCCATCTATAAATTGCATACGTAAAACAAGAAGGGGGTCTAATGCTCCAATGATACATCGTGCCTATGTTACACATGTTAAAGGAGGGGGGTCTAGAAAATCGCGATTTTTGACCTACGTAGTTTATGGACGGCCCCTAATTGCTACGGTCGCGGACCTAATCAAGTTATCCTCAATTATGTCGTGGTCACGTCGCGTACCGTATTTTAGTTAATTTTATGATTTTGAGTGATTGCACAAGGTGTAAAGGAAAAGTAGAAACTAGTCATAAATTTCACACAGGAAAAAACTATTTATTTTAGTTATTTTCAGAAATTTAAATGACAAATTAAAATACTACTTTTTTACTGCCTTTCACACTACTTCACTCTTACATAAGTCTACGAGTAATACAATACTAATAATCTTCTCTCTCTCTTCTCACGTACACATAAAAAGTAACGGATAAATGCTTCTCTCGCCTTCCAGAAGAATGGCAAAGCGGTACACTTAAAATAAGGGAACAAAGTGAGACGCATTTTCATACATACATAAACAACACATTCAATAATATACATATAATATCACTCATTCCTCGACACTAATGGCATGGCAATGCGATGTGCATAAATTAATGGAAGTCGATCAGTTTGGCGAAAACACTTTTGCCGAAAAACTTTCGCCAAAAAAATAATCCCATTTGGCGAAAAACAAATTTCATGCATGCATTTCACCGTACGTTATTTTTATTTTTTGAAGTACCTTTTGGCGAAAATAATGTTATAACAAAATTGTAATTTTGAGCGATTTGACATAAATAAATGCGAAGTTTAAATTTCGCCAAATGTACTTTTACGAGTTTTCCACTTTCTCCAAATATGACAATAATTTCGCCATTTGGTACTTTCATGACAATTTTTTACCACATTGGCGAAAAAACTTAATTTTATTACAGAAGTTTAGTTTGAGTAGTTTAACAAAGTTTTAAATAAAACTACAAGGCTTGAAAGCTAAGTGGTTTTAATTGTGCTATCTTTCAGAGCCAAGTTAGAGTAGTGTCAGACGTGCCCGACTGTGATGAGACCGTCCCGAGTTCGATACCTGCCGCATCCATCTCTGCTTAGGCTGGAGTTTTCAATACTCCAGTTTGTTTAAGGGATGCAAAATTAAGAGTGTGACGTGGACTTTCCTTCCACACTTTCGAACTTCACTCCTCTTTAAAACTTTCATAGTTTGTGAGATGCTCCGTGGTTCGAACATACTTTTTGTACAATATTTAACTTGTATAATAATGGGCGAAATATTATTAGCAGAGTCCGGATAAATATGTTCTTAAAACCCCCGAAATATTTATGTAAAATGTTCAATCAAATCGCCAAAATATGTATATAAAACATATTTTTAATTCGCTTTAAATTGCCCCAAATTTAGCTTATTTGACTGCAGAAATGCCAAAAAATTGCTTTTACATTTCAAAGTGACAAACTAAAAACATTTCAACATGCTCTGGTATTATTTCCACGATGATCGGAATTTTTTATGAATTGTGAATTTCTGAGGTTTCTCTAAAGGAATATATTTGTTTCGAAAAAATCGCTGAAATATGTAAAAACATATTTATTTGTATTGAAAATAATATATATTTTTGAAAAAATCGCCGAAATATGTAAAAACATATTTATGTGTATCAAAAAATGCACATTTTCGGCAAAATCGTCGAAATATGTTAAACCATATTTATATGTACCAAAACCTGGAAATATGTAAAATATGTGAAAACATTTTTTTGACCGTGTGACCTATGCCTGACCAGGAACAATATCCCAAAGTTTCAACCCGATCGGGTTATTATTGAAAAAGTTTAAAATACATACATATCCATCCGGACTCTGATTATTAGGCCAAGAGAAGGCTTTTTCGTCTGTCTGTCAGCAGAATAACGCGACAACGAATCAAGATGGTTTGCAGCATCATTCATAGGACCCTAGTAGGGGGCGATTGAGGTCAATTGGTCCACCCCCACGAGGTCAGATGGTGTGTTCACTTCATTTTTGAGGGAATTTCATGTTTCAATCTATTGCTACATACATACATTTCCTTTGTAACGGTTTATGTATTTCACGACTTTTACCGTATTTTACGTAAAGGTCCATGCAGACAGTGGGTATCCTAGGATTTGTACGGCCTGTGGAATTTCCAAAAGTCCGGCCGGTGTGTTAGAGGTCCAAATTTTGTATATGTACATATGCTAGATTTATAGCTACATACATGTAGATATGTGTCACTATACCTTTAGAACTGCAGTACAACACCCAGAAATAGGTACTTATTTAATGCTATGATGACAAACGTTTTATTTCCACATTATCCACCAATTCTTTAACTTTCAAACTTCGTACACAAAAAATAGTATGCGCGGGCAATTGGAGATTTATATTTTTACGGACAGCTCACAACTTACAATGATGAGGTGTGAGGTGGTTATCGCCGATTTGGGCCCGACAAACTTTATTAATGTTAAGAAATGATCGGACCCTAATTCATGTTTTCGGAATTTTCAAAAATATTACCCAAATTCGTAATTTTTTTAACGCTTTAAATTCTCGTATTTTAACCCGATTTCAAAAAATAAACATACTCTTTGCTTAGAATTACTTCCCTGAAATTATACAAATCATTTTTTATAAACTCTTAATTTTCAATCAACAAATTTTCGCTTTTTGAATGTGAAAAAATTGAGAAATAAAAAAAATATCAGATTTTTTAAATTCCAAAATTTGGATTTTAATAATTTCATGGAAGTAATTCTGAAAAAAATGAGTTTAATTCTTGAAATTGGGTGCAATTCTAAAAGCTACAAAGTCAAAAAAATTGTTTTTGGGTGAAGTTTTTCTTGAAAATTCCGCGACCGGAAAAAAAATTCGCATTCTGGGAAATATAAAAATACGGGTCCGCTTGTTTTTTAGCCTAAAAATTTAAAATTAGTCTCATCAAAATGGGCGAAAACCAGACCTCTCCATTGTTGGAGTATTTTTCTGCAAAAATGTAGGGCGTAAAAAAAACTTCATTTTAGCTTAATAATTGTTTCAACTTTGCAATTTCTAATTGAAAGCGACATGTGTCTAAAAAATTAGCTCTCATATCAAGGTGTACGATTATTCTGACGAAAAACGATATTTTTGTAAGGACAGGATTCATGTCTAATATTGTTACCACCACGAAAAATCTAAAGTTCAAATTTAGGCATACGCGTTTAGGCAATTTCGGTATGCAAATTTGTATTCTGGTTTGACGACGTATCGTTAAATACACTAAATAAAAATAAGTAACATTTACTCAAAGTTAAAAAAAGTGGATTACACAACCGAAAAGTAAAACTTGCCCAAATTGTTTAAAATTGTCCGGGTGTTCGGGTGACTAAATTTTGTAAGTATTGGATAAATTTTGCCTATAGGTTGTACGATCCTCTTTTTTTACTTAACCCTGAGCAAAGTTTCCTTATTTATATTTAGTGTGTATTATCTGGTCACGGTGCTATCGTGACCGGGTCCTGGTACGGCCGGTCCCACGGTCCGGCCTGTGGACACGTCCACACTTGTCCTTATGGACGGATACCCTCTACATGCAGAACGACGTAACCGATATTGTGATCATTTTGACAACATCGCTTTGACGTGGCATTATAAGAAGTAAATGAATTTTTACGAGAACTAAAAAATGAATTGCGTTCGACTTTAAAAAAATGTTTTCTTAAATATCATAGCATCCCAAAATCGAAATTTGTAAATTGCCGATGTTGAGCAATTTACGATTTTGATATGTACATATCTGTAATCCCTCATTTGTGTTATGATGAAAAATGAAGAGATTTGATGGCTTAACAATTCTAGTTTTGTGTATGGTTTACAACTTACAACCATGTAATTATGCAACTTACAATGCAATGACGCCAGCGGTCTCGTTCCGATTTTGACGAAACAACGATAATTATGTAACCTTACACAAATAATTGAACACGTGTTTCGGGATTTTTCATAATGCTCAGCTTAAACGAAATTATGACGTGATCCGTGAGCGAGAATTTCCATTTTGACCGTGACATTATCTCGTGAGGGAGAAAAATCCAGATTCACGCTTAGCGATTCCATCATAATTTCGTTTAAACTTAAAATGCGTGGGCATGAAGTGGTTTTCTACCGATTTCAAATTGATCGCACAAATTTTGAAAATGCAACAAACTAGAGATTTCCAAAAATTAAAATTTTTGAAAACCAGATTTTTCTTAAGTTACTCAATGTGCAAAAATCTTTATGCATTTTTGAAACCGGATAAAAATTTGAAAATTTACCGCATTTCGATAAACCCTTAATTTGGCTTAAAATTTATTCCAAAATTCAGCCACAACCGAAATAACCCTACCCGTATTTTTACTTTTTCATGAAGACGCGTAATTTCGGTTCTAGCGGAAATTGAGTGACTTAAGAAAATTCGATTGAGTAACTTCAGAAAAATCTGGTTTTCAACAATTTTGATTTTTAGAAAATATCTGGTTTGTTGAATTTTCAAAATTTTCAAAATTTTTCAAAATTTGTGCGAGCAATTTGAAATAGGTAGAAAACCACTTTATGCCCACGCATTTTAAGTTTAAACGAAATTATGATGGAATCGTTAAGCGTGAATCTGAATTTTTCTCCCTCACGAGAAAAATGCCACGGTAGAAATGGAAATTCTCGCTCACGGATCACGTTATAATTTCGTTTAAGCTGAGCATTATGAAAAATCCCGAAATACGTGTTCAATTATTTGTGTAAGGTTACATAATTATCGTTGTTTCGTCAAAATCGGAGTGAGACCGCTGGCGTCATCGCATTGTTAGTAACTCGTATTGTTAAGATTTATGAGGTATTTTTGTGAAAATTTTGATTTAGAAAGCGATTAGTATCTCACTCGGACGAATTAAAAAAAGGTGAGCTCGCAAAAAGTATGCAAAAAATGTGGCTTGAAAAATGCATGCGAAATTGCGAATCTCCAAGGCTAGTTCGCCCTTTTTAAAATTACATTGCGATGCAAACTTGAGAACAAATAATGAGTACCTGCAATATCTTAATTAATGTTGCTATATAATGTTTACGAATATGGTATAAAACAAGGATATTTACCTTCTGTTAAGCAGTATTCATTATTAATATAAAACATCGCGTAAAATTTATCGTTTTAAGTACTTATTTACATTATATCCTTTCAGATTGGCAACCAGTTGCACTTATCTACTGCAAACTGAGTGTGACAAGACCTACATAAATAGTTTTAATACGAGTTCATACATACATAAATACATACATACATAACCCTCCACAATGCCTGCGCCGACAAAATGTATTCAGTGTTCGATCAGAAGCAAAAATTACCGTAATGTTTTTTTTGCGTTTTACTTGATTCGCGACAGATCTGCACCGTTAAGAATCTCGGAAGCCAAATTTCTTCTGCATGGTTATGCCGGCCTGCAAAAATTTGCCACTTTTATGGGACAATTTTAAAACCGATCTAATATTACAAAAGGTATCTATTATCCATGGGACTTTGTTCTAGCTATATATGAAAACGCCTTGTATTATTTCAATACTGGATTTCTCAGAGGTTAGAATTTCTGAAAGTTTGTAAACATTATCTAATTCTTCAATTCTACAATATAGTTAACTATACCATGCATATTATAGATAAATGGCGATAGAACCCCAACAAACAAACAATAAAACAGAAAAAGACAATAAAGCTAAAAACAGTCTAATATGTAAGTAACCAGGTTGTGTCAGATAAAAGCAGATCATTTTGATGTGCAGAACACTAATGCACAACCATATATCGACTCGAATTTAGAGATAAGATTGCGCTGCGAGTCTGAGGTTATGCTCAAATTCATTTTTCGGTCCACCATTGTAAATAAATTTGCAAAATTTGTTTATTTGGTTAAATTTAATAAAACTATACGTAATAATGTCAATCTACCGCTTGAGTCCAGTCGTACTTATTGCTGGCATCGTTTTCGCGACACAATTTGCAAATCGGCTAGTCCGTAAAACATTTTTCGTGACTGAAATACTTGTGTCGAATTAAGTAGTTAAACGTTTCTACTTTTTTTAGGCTGATGTGATCCTACCCATCGTTTACACCGTGGCTGGTGTTGTCGTGATTTACCTCCTGCTGTCGTTCTGTCTTAAGTGGTCCGAACAGCGAAATAATCGGGAAGCAAATGCACAAAGGTATAAAATAAGAAATTTAAGATATTTAGTGATATTTATACATATACATACTGTTAGAAATCTGGTATAGCCAGTCAGGTGCTGATTTCTCGGTATTAAAGTTGCTACCGCTTGGTATTAAAAGTATGCCGGTGCAATATTTGACTGCGATATGGGAATACTTCATTACTTAGATACATATGCTATTTCTGCAACGTATTGCATACATTTTAAACCATTTTGTTAGAGTGATTATGAATTTTTAAATACCGGATTTCTTAGAGTGTATAATAGGACAATGAGGTACGAAAAAATCGTAGCCTTAGTAACGCGATTTTAGCTGACAAAATCTGGTGACGCTTACAAAATCTCGTAGCCGTCGTAACGTATTTTACCATCCCAAGAATAATAAGGATACGAAGGAATCATGAACACCATTAATATGTACATATTTAACTTTTTTCAATATCCATAGGTTCGCAGTGAATGGATTTAATGCCCGATTTAACGCGCTGCGATATGAAAATCGATTTCAAAATTGGGGAGATTCGACGTTCAGTAGCTCAAAGCATCACTCGCGTCGACGTTACTTAAACTAAAAATATACATACATATTTGTAAATATATGTCGTACAACTATGGTTGTCAAGTAAATGAATAAATACTAAATAAATTTGCGTTTTGTCGCTTCTCTTAGCTCAATCAATTCAGGTGTTTGTATTCAGGATATTTATTTATCGCCTATATATGTATTTAGAATTAAATCACAGGTTTAAATAAAATATTCATAATTATTTAAGTTCATAGGACAAATTTAGGTCAAAAACTTCTGTGATTTTCATCTAAATGCAGACATCGATTACGCAAATTTGTGACATTTCTTTCCAATTAGCAGGAGAAAGAAAGAATTTCTGGTTGGAAATGTTCACCTGTCCCACCGCATCCGACGACACTGGTCACCCCCCTATTTCTTCTGTCCGTTCCACGTGGGTGGAATGGGTGAGTTGTGGAAGCTTTCCGCCCAGTCCACTTCCCAAGCTGGAATGTCGATCAAAAACTGCGAGCACAGAATCCTCACTCGTCACTGCAGATCTCGTCAATGGGAAATTCTTTAATTCACGTTTTTAAGCTGTAAGAGCAACATTAAAAGTGGTATAAAAAGTATGTATACTTAAATCTTTCGTGCGAAGATGACGACCTGTAGGATTCATATATGCAAAAGCATTCAGAAAGTTGTGTATTTTGCTACCTAACTTGCTCACCCACAAAAATAACCATGACAAGGAGATTGAACTTACATACTCCTCAGTTATTTTACTCCGGCAATTCAACTTTGCATGAAGCCCATTACATGCAACCCAACATTACTCAACAGCACCAATAAAACAGGAAACGATAAACACTAAAATGCACCCCTAGGAAAAACTTGTATGCATAAACTGCCATCGGTGCGAACCAATAATCAATTTTCGTCTTAGAAAAAAAATTCAGCATTATTTGCACGTTAATGCATAAGCCGATTTTTCTAAGTCTACCATTAATACGTTTATAAAACTTTAGAAAAGTTATGTAACACGTAAAGTTATCAAAATCGTTGTAAAATGCGAAAAATTCAGTTCAAAACCAGTTATTCATTTTACACAAAAACATTACACACATATTCACAAATGTGGATTGAATGAATATACATATGGACACGCGAATTTAAGTCATTCAATAAAAAATGACCTTCATTTCGGCACATGCTCTGGGACAGTGGTAACCTTATAAGTATTGTAAACCTAACTCCAATTTAGTGTTGCTGTACAATCACAATAAACCGCAATACGTGTCCCATTGTAAACGATTTGTTTTTATTCATACACATTAAAAATTATTTAAAAGTGCGTTATTAATTTCGAAGACCACGAATATATAAAAAAGGTAGCCACAAACATTCTTAAAGTCTGCAGATTTGACAAATCGAGTTTAATCAATTGCAAATTCATATGAATATTAAGCAAATCATAAATATTTCAGAATCCTTATCTACAAGACACCATTGAAATCAAAAGTTATTCAAGACTAGCATATAAATAATAGTACTCGAACATTTAATTATTTATTTGATAAATCAATCAGATATAAGTAATTTGGCTCACGATTACTCGAATACATTAGTTTTATCAGCATTTAACTATTAATTGTAGGTCCCGATAATTGATTAACTCTTAATTTTTATAACTAGCCTACTAAATTTTAACTTAAAATGTTCCCACTTCTACTCACAATAATTATGGGGGGAATTATTGTAATTTACTTTGCTATAATTCCGAAAATTAAGGAGGCTCGGATGCAGAAGAAATTGTAAGATTTTAGTTAGATATTTACATATTTTGTTTCTTAATATTTGATTTCGTCAATTTTTTTCCGTGTAAATTACCAAGAGAAAAATGGAACCATACCAAGAAAGATGTGGTCACAATGCACGCGATCCCTCGAGGAGGAGCAGTCTCACATTCATCGCCTTTCGTCGTCAAGCTGGAGACGTGGATGAGGATGGCAAAAATTCCGTATGAGGTGATGACATGAAATTATATTTAGATAAGCACTTTTCAAAACATTTACACAAAAGTTCAAAAAGTTTAGAATTTTTTTTATTGGATTATTAAATACAATTGAGATTTCCTTTAATATTTAGATGCTTTCTACAGTCTTATTTGTAGTTTAACGATTTTATTAAATTTGTTATCTTTTATTATTTAACTTTGGATTTAGTATCACAGAGTTACTATTGTCGGTGTATGTATTATTAATAGGTCGCTTTAGCTATAAGAAACGAATACAAAAACGGCATGATATTAATGCACAAACCCTAAACCATACGTGCTTCTTAGTTCGGATAAAAAACGCAATGTTTAATTTTGACAAATGGTTATCGCCCACAATTATAAAAAATACTGCACAAAAACCATAACGCTAATAAATAACGCTAACGTTAATAAACCTCTGCTATAAAAAACTAAAAAAAAACGGTAGACTAAAAAAAATTGGACAGAATCTCTGATTTACCATAGATGATATTGTCAGATTTAATTTTTTAATTACCAGCAATCTAATAATGGTACAATTTAAATTCCAGACTGACTTAACTCTCGCCGACGCTCATGGACCGAAAGGACGCTTTCCATGGATTTCTCTCAATGGGCAGCATCTCGGTGATTCCCACCTTATTATCGACTTCCTTAAAAAGTATGTTCGCCATAGAGTATCCATAAAATCGGGACAGACTAATAATTATTCAATCTTTTCAGAAAATTCAATATCCAATTAGGAGACGAATATAGTAAGGAACAACTCGCGATTGGTGCCACGATACGGATTATGATGGATGATCATTTCTTTTGGTAGGTCGTGTAAATGTTGATTAACTTACAAAGAAAAATTATTATCAGATGTTGGGTGTTTTCGATTTTTTTGCACTATAAACTTTCAAATGCAAAAAAATTATAACGACAGTTTAATATTGAATATGCTACACTCTAAGAAACCCGGTAGCTAAGTTATTACCAGGCGGAGTATCTATGTATGTGACTACCGCATGGCAATTAATTGATTATTGAGTGGTAGAAAATTAGTCACCAATTGGCAATATTTTCAAATTTCGCGACCCGGGTTATTACCGGTTTGGTAACAAAATGCTACCACTCAATAATAAATAAATTACCGTGCGGTAGAGTCACATAGATACTCCGCCTGGTAATAACTTAGCTACCGGGTTTCTTAGAGTGTACTAGCAGGTTCGGTGTTATTCGAAAAATTTATTCTAATTCGATTGAATATTAGTTGAATAAATCGAATACTCAATATCATCTATTTAGTTGACCTAAAATTTATAGCGGATATTGCTACATCCATATTATTAATAAAAAGATCTAAAATCCCCGCACTTTCTCTTCCAGGGGTATCGCCCTCTACCGATACGTTTACGGCTCCTTTTCCTCTCTTCGCCAAGTAATGGGAAAGTTCGTGCCGGCCTGGCGAACTTGGTTGTTACGCCTTTATATGGGTACCCAATTTTCAACAAGGTCAAAAGGTCACGGGATTGGGCTACACAGTTGGAAAGAAATTGAACAGCTGACCCTACAAGATTTAAAATTATTGTCGGAATTACTTGGCAATAAAAAATATATTTTGGGTGACACCCCATGCGAGTATGACGCTTCAGTGTTTGGTCACCTGGTCCAGGTCATGTGGGGTTCACCGGGGTCAATTTATCAAGAAGCTGTCGAAAGTAAGTGCAATTTTCCAAAGGTTTGCACATATACAAGGTGGTTTAAATGTCAGGTTACAATGGAAAGTTTTTCAATAGAGAAAATTCGCAAATTTCTATTAGTTACGGATTTGGGATTGAGACTTTTATTAATTTTTATCAAAACTTGTGGAACAAAATTCATGACAAAGTTCTTAAAATATTGAATTTCAGTGGCAAAATGTCGGTAACTAATGGAGATTTACGAATTTCTCCCATTGCAAAATTTTCCATTGTAACATGACATTTAAACCACTCTATATAGTCCTTACATATCACTTTACTAATTTTTAGAGGATTTAAAAAATCTGAAATACTACACGATTCGCATCAAGGAAACGTTTTATCCGGATTGGGACAAATTACTTGAAGAGGAATAATATATTTCAGATTGTATAATGTCGCGAAATTAAATAAATATATGATCATACTTTGTACAAAAATTTGTTAGTAAAATTTTTTTACGATTCCGAACACTTTACATACTTGTTAATACAACATGCTGACGTCCCAACAAGTAGTTTATACTTATTTGTTGGTTTTTAATAATAGGGTGTCCCAACTTTGTAAAAAAAAATCGCTTTTTCCGCTCACGATTTTTTCGCTCTTTTTGTAAACCGCACTGCGCATGCGATTCCGATCTTTTTTCCGCTTTTTCTGCTCAAAAATAAAATCTACTTTAAGATGATTTTTTCGCTCTTTTTACTACTTTGAGTGAAAAATCAGTCTCTCAGAGACATGTTTAAGGGGACATAGCCCGATTTTGATGCCCTATGGAATATATTGCAATATCAGGTGAGTGTATGAAAAGTGAGGGAGGATTTTATTCCATGGCCCCACCTGCGCCCGCCACACCCCCTGAAAAGCATTGCAACCACTAAAACTACCGCATTCAAACCTTTGCCAAAAATCCTATTTTCATCCCATTTTGGTAATTTTTGGATTTACATGATCTTAGATAGTTGTTTTATCATATCCAACATGAAGCAAATTTGAATTTTAAAAGAAACTCCGAAGTTTCCTGACCACCCATTCTCTGCTCCTGAGTATTCAAGCGATAAAAAATCGGGACAGTCAAGTATTGAGCGAAAAAAGCGGATTTCAGATTTTTTAGCTTTTCGCTTTTTCAGATCTTTTTTACAAACTTGGGAGACCCTAATCTTGATGCCATTTAGTCACGGCTCTATTTAAACCAAAAAACCATACAGCAAAACAAGTTTACAAATCAATTAAGATCTGTGAGATAAAAGGAGATGTATTATTAATCAGAACACGAATAACTTTACAAGGATTCAATTAACAGATTAGATTGCGCTGCGAGTCCTATGCTTAATAAATTCACTCCGAACATACTTATATTTTCGCACACTGTTATAAGTCAATTTGCAAAATTTTACTATTCACGATCTATTAATAATGTCAATCGATCGCTTTAGTCCCGTCGTGCTCATTGTTGCCATCGTTTTCGCAACCCATGTTGCAAATCGGCTAGTCCGTAAATATCTAAAGTACATAAAATATCTGTATCGAATTGGTTAAAATCTTGAAACTTTATTCAGATCGAACTGATCCTGCCCATCGTTTTCACCGTGTTGTGGTGCTTTTTCTCGTGCTGGCGTTTTGCATTAAGTTGTCAGAACATCGAATTCATAGAGAAGCAAATGTACAAAGGTATAAAATAAACAAACTAAGAACATTTATGATACGGATGCCTAGGCAATTCTTCGATGATATTTACATGTGACAATGAGGGTTCGATTTGTGGTGTAAACGTGTTTGCCCGGAAATCGGGGGCAAATACAGGAAAAAATAAATTGCTTCAGAGATCCTGCAAAAATATTTTGAAGAGCAAATTTTCTAGCATTTTTAGGAAATGTTTATATTTTTTTAGGCCGAATTTTTTGTTGGCGTGGTAATTTCCCGGGATTTTCTTCCTCCTATTTCCGAAAATAAAACAGAAATCCAACCCGTGTAACATTTGTGCGTTCTCAATGTTGGGTCCAAAATTCATTTGCGTTATTGCGCATCTTCAGGGCATTAGTATTTAGTTGAAAAGCTTGTTTGTGACAAGACCATTCGAACTCGTAGTGAATACCCTCAATGTTTTAATTGCTTTCAATCTCATTTGCAGGTTCGCGCTGAATGGATTTAGTGCTCGCTTAAATGCGCTGCGATATCAAGAAATTGAAAACTAAACTGAAAATGCAGAAGATTCGAGATTGATTCCGCGCGTTAGTTCCAAGTATCCAACGCGAAGACGTTATTTGAACTGAAAATATGTATGTCTATGTATTTTAACTGTTAGAAAACAGTTTAATTTTGTAAACAACTGGTTTAATAACAAATGTATTCATATTTAGTTATTAAGTTGAGTTTAGTTAAAGTTGCTACATACTTAAATAGTATTAAGATTATACCAGTCCTTAGAAATTTACTACCAATATGGCAAAACCTTCGTACGGAGCTATTACTAGGTACACTGCAAAGGTCAGCGCCACCGATTACACGCCCGTATTTTACGTATCGCCAATAAATCTGTATTCATGTTTCTACAACATTGGGGAGGAAAATTGCAAAAACTTTGAACTAACTCAAACATCTCGGACCTGGTATATATAAAACGTAATCGCATAAGATTTTATGCACTATATTTTGAAAAACGAGATGTTGGAGGACTCGTGACCCCCCCCCCATTCCTTTGTCCACTATTGGATGCCGTTAACCCATAGTGCATTCCGACATATTTGAGTTAGAAGTTTTAACAATTTTTATACGGCGAGTTAAAAAAACATCCAGTGTTCCATGTCACGAGTTGGAATTAATAAATATTTTTCTGGCTCTACAAAGAAAAATTGTAGAAACTTTTAACTCAAATATCCTAGAATGGAGGAAATGAAATGACCTAATAGGGAAAATCAAAATGAACTAGAGCATTTACTCTGTGTTTAACAAATGGGCTTGGGAAGGACTCGTTAACCCAATGGCGGCGGAAGTTGGACGACATATGGGGACATTAGAATTGTGAGATAGGATGAGGAGCAGCTTATTAACACAGATGAAAGAAAGAATTTCTGGGGGGCATCTATCCGCCTATCGCCCCACTTCTGACGTCACTGGTGACCCTCCTATTTCTTATGTCCGTTCCACGGTTGGTGGAATGGGTGAGTTGTGGAAGCTTTCCGCATAGTCCACTTCCCGAGCTGGGATTTCGCTCAAAAACTGCCAGCACAGAATCCTCACTCGTCATTGTAAGTTACAATGACGAGTTACAATTTGTAACTCTCAATGGGAAATTGTTCAATTCACGTTTTTAAGCTATAAGAACAGCATCACAGGTAGCATTAAGTATTAACTATATATGTATCTACATATGTATGTACATACACAACTCCTACAAAATAATACTGCTGATTTATAACTTATCACTCTACATCCATTCAACCAATATTTTACCATCACTTGAGCGACATAATAGCAACATAATGTTATAATTATCTCCAGCGTCACGAACTATCTAACTAGCATGTATTACACACATATGTACATACATATACAATAAGTAGCTAAGTAAATTGCATGAATCTTTGTTAAGTTACTTTTACATGTCGCAACCTTTCCGTTTCTTTCTATGTGTACATTCATTTTGCTTCATTATGTAACAGAGTGAATATATCAGTATGTAGGTTGCATTGCGCTTAAACCAGTTTCATGAATTTGCACAATTTCTGCAGACCTCAAACAACTTGCGAAAAGTGACTTTATAGCGTTTCAGTTGAGAAATAAGATTCGCCTGGTGTTAATTAAACAAATCTTTCTTTACCTTCAAGTGAAATTTCATGTGTTTATCCAATTAAATATGGGGCGAAAACGTGCCAAATTCCGCAGTGCAGAAACTCACTCCAGGTACAAACTGAGTCATTTGCGCAATTTCCTTCCTCCAAGATTTAATTACCGGAAACATTCCTAGTCCAAAACAATGAGTACTCTCCGTCAAATTTTGAAAACCGTGCTCGCTCGTTATTTCGTCCTTTTTGTCGTCGTGTGTAACTTACTTTTCCTGAAAGCTATTGTTGCTCATCTGATTCTTCGGGTATTTAGATTCATTCAACTAAAATCCTCCCAAGTAATTGGAATTATTTGTATTTATTTAAACATTTCTATATTTTTTTAGGTCCATAGATTGCTACCCATCGCTTATATCGAGCTTACTCTTGTGGTGGCATCCTTCATGCTGCGATTTGTATCCAAATTGACATGTGAATTATATCTGGAGACTCAAAGGTTAATTAATTATTTCTATAGTTAACTTTAATTCGGTACTAAATATTTATAAGGCGAGGACTATGTAGATACATAAATGTGTATGTATGATTCCGCCGTCGTGGTAAAAATTTATTAGGGACTGGTACTAAGCTTGTCACCATTTTTTCCTTCCTGTTGCCATTTTTATTAGCATGGTAAACAATTACATATCAATCACTAGATGACCATGAGGATAGAGTTGCACAAATATAGTTATCGCATGGAGGTAGCTTTATTACCGGATTATTTTGTTGTAAATAGACTAATATTCTTGTACATACATACACTGTTAGAAATCTGGAAAAGTCGAGGAAGTATTTATCGGTGTTAAAAATTTCTCCCGCCTGGTAGTATAATTTTACCGGTCCGAAGAAATTTTCATCCTGTATAGCAAAACTTTAATAGCGATCTGCTACCCCACGGTGTTATTTATCAAGGCCACTTTCGTAGATTCATATTTATATCTTGGTATTATTTTCGTACAGGATTTCTAGTTTCTAAATGTATTTGCGTACAAGGTATTAATTATTTTCAATCTCTTTTGCAGGTTCATTTGGAAACTATCAGGATGGCGAGTGGAGTCGTAGGCGGCAGGATATTTACTTATACCAGTAAAAATATGTGTGTACACATGGCAACTTTGCTGGTCAAGTGAATAAAGGAGAAACATGAATTTTGTCCGGTCAACAGAAATTGATTTCAAAATGGTTTATCAATCAAGATTGGCTAACAATTCTAAATTAAATATGTGTATTTTTTAATAGTTAGGGAAACTGTGCATCTGAATTTGCATAACCCAAACCATTTACATATGTATCAAGTTTGCAGTCTCACCACATTTGGGGAAGCTTTCTTCACGGCACATTTCCCGTGCTGGGATTTCGATCAAAAACTCTGCCAGCACACAATCCTCACTCGCGTTGCATTTGCACGTTTTTTAGTTGAATGAATGAATGTGTATTATTCCTGTCCCCATACGAGCATACAAATGCCATTACACCCATGAAGCACGTTTTGATAACATAAAAAGGATTTACTAATAATAAATTACTGTGAAGTATATATGTACATACATACATAATTCGCACTTAATACGATGTATTTGTACGGCCGACTTATCACCGCTCCATACTCCATTCAACCCGTACTTTCCCGTACACTCTTTAATTTAGCGACGTCACAACATCTCCAGCTCCACCATATTCAGTTAAGTGTTGCGTATTACGTAATAGACGCAATATTACGTATCTAATAGTCAAACTGTATGCATCTTCAGTACTAACTAAGTTGCATTTCAACGGATTTCTTTCCTTCTAATCCGAAGTAAATATACATTCACTCTACACAATGATGTGTATGATTACACAGGGCGAATGTACATATATTGTAAAAACGCGTCAAGTTTGCAGCTCTGACGTCACTGTGCTCGTATCCTTACCATGTGAGCCAACACCGTAGGATAGGAGCACAGTGACGTCAGAGCTGCAAACTTGACGCGTTTTTACAATATGTACATACATAGCACTTCACCCTTTCAGAATATTAGTAACTCGCCAAGACCACAAACAGCTTGACACGTCGAATACTGACTTCATAGCCGTCCAATTGCGAAATTAGATTTCGTTTGTTATTAACTAAACAAATCCTGACATCTCATGACATGTAATGTGTCTAGCCAGTTAAGCATGTGTACAAATGTGCAAGATTCTGCAGTGCAGAAAATCATTCCAACTGAGTCATTACTTGTGATATTTTCTTCCCCAGTTATTTATTTCCACCATAAATATGGAAAATATTATTTATTCAAAGACATACATAACAATGGATACTTTCCGACGACTGCATCCCGGAGTGCAAGTTTTGATTGTCCTGTGCGCCCTCGTTTTCGGTCTTTTTCTCGTCTTTTTGGTGGCATTCATTTTTGCCATCTTGGTTAGTAAAAATTTATTCGTCATAAAAATCCCATTAAGTTATTTGAATTATGTATTTATTTTAACATTTGTACATATTTTTTTTAGATCAATGGGATCCTATCCATCGTTTTTACCTTGGCTAGTCTTGTCGTGGTTTGTTTGATGATGTGGTTTATCCTCAGATTGGAAGCATATCAAATTTATCGGAAAACCGTGAGGTTAGTTACTTAACTGTAGTTAATTTTAATTCGGTGGTATACGTATGTACTTATTTAGAAGGTAGGGTCTATATAGACAAATATTTGTGTCTGTGTCGTCGATGTGAAATTTTCTACCGGCCGGTATTAAACTTGTCACCGTTTTTCCGCCCTGGTTGCAATTTTGATCAGTGTGGTAAACAATTAAATACACTGTAAAGCATCCGGTAGAGTCACATATGTACTCCGGGTCGGTATTGATTTGGTAATAATTCATTACTGGATTGGTTATAGTTTGATTCTGAGTGGTAGCGATTTCATTACCACCACATTACTACGCCGTAACGATCGATATTACCGATGCCGGTAGAGTCATATATGTACTCCGTCCAGTAATGATTCGTAATAATTCAATACCAGTTGCCTAAGAGTGTACGACTACATAACCGTGGCGCACAAATATTTAATTACCGCGTGGTGGTAGCCTTATCACCGTTCAGATTATTCTGTTGTAAATAACCGATATTGTTGTATATAAGTATGCACACCTGTTATGACTCTGGTAGTCAGTAGGTATTGATTTCTCTGTATTAAAATTGATTTCTGCGCTTCATATTAACATAATAAAAGTCTGTAAAAATGTGGTAAAAATTGAATACCGATTTATTACTACACGGTACTACTTATGTATAATAGAGTCATTTATTTATGAATAGCGCTTTTTATTATTTTAATACATGATTTCCAAGGGTATAGAAATAATTTAAGTATGTACAGAGTGACAAGTTATTAATTATTATTTTCAATCTCTTTGGCAGGCTGGTGTGGAGTCCTCGATCAAACCGCAGATACCAGAATGAACTTGAGGATTGGTCTTGGCGACGGGAACGTGATTGCTACTTAAACTAGTAAAAATATGTGTGTACACATTGCCACGGTGCTGGTCGAGTGAATAAAGGAGAAAATTTGAATTTTGTCATGTCAATATACATAAATTGATTTCAGCATCGTTTATTATGCACACGTCTAAATAAAATAGGTACAACTTTTTTTAATAAATGGGGAAAGTGTGGGTTTAAATATCTCGCAATTTTCATCTAAATGAAAATAGGGAACGTGCATATATTACATATATTACGCATATATTACGTGCATATATTACGTGCATATATTACGTCATCAAAAAAGGTGGGTGGGTAGTTTTGGGTCGCTATAGTTAAGATTTACAAAATAATTAAATAATTAAATGTATTGGTTGGGTTGGTGGTATGTGTATTATATGTAATTATGTATTATGTATGTTGGCTCTGAAGGATGGATGTATGAGATGTGTATTTACGATGGGAAAAAATGTTATTCCCAAAGGGACTTGTGAGAGTGGAAGAGATCTTTATTGTAAGGTGGTCAAAGTACAAGTCCACGATCCAATACTGGATCTGTGCATATGTACGTGCCTCCACTTTCCCGTTCGGGGAAAGTGTAGCCACGTGAACATGGGTATTATTATAGTACATTATCTTAACGCTATTGTTAGGCTTAACGTGAGGATGACAGGAAGAGGAAGGTTGGTGGTTCAAAACTCGGCATCATTTTAACGACGTAACATATGAACGTAGCCATATGCATCAAGTTCAATCCTCGTTTGGAGAAGCATTCTTCACATCACACTTTCCGGGCTGAGGTTTCGCTCAAAAACTCTGCCAGCACAGAATCCTCGAATAACTGACTGTCATTCGTATCACTTTCATGCTCGTCAGTGTGCAAAATTATCTGTCGTTAGTGCCTTACTTATTCCTGAAAGCTCATAAATTAAAACCATGACATGAAAAATGGCAAGCATGTTTGGCATGTTGAGATTGTATTATCTCACTCCACCAGTAAATTTGCATTTCATCCTTTATTATGCGGAATATGTATGATGCATTATCTACAACATTGTGTACCTTTTGTGCAAATTCATACAAGAAATTTCAAGTTTTAGATTACATGTACATAAGCGCAATTTATGCGACACTACCATGGAGTACACAAATAGTTTAATTCGCAGTACAAGTAATTTTCCAAATAAAAATGAAATTTTGGAAATTCTTCGCCATATAGTTTTTCACTTTACGCGTCTATCGTTCATACATTTAAAAAAATAAGCCGTGCCCATTTACATATGTATTACGAACAGGGTGGCTAAAATGTCGCTACATATAATGATAAATTTTGCAAGGGGAACAGCTTCTAAATCTCCATTAGCTATACACGATTGGGGATTGAAATTGATGGAAAACTGATGACAAAATTCTTAAACTATTCAATTTCAGAGAGAAAATTTCGGTGACTAATGGAAATCTTCAATTTTTTTTCCAATTGACAAATTTTCCATTGTACCGTGACCTTTGACATTTAAACTAAACCACCATGTAAATGTAAATAGATGTGGTTTTGTATACATCCCTCCCTTGAGTACATACATATGTGCCTGCCCTTTAAATTCTCCACATCCTTTCACACCTTTCTCTGTACATTGCTTTCTCCTCAAATCCATCCATAACCACTTTCACACTTGCAATCTCGCCATTCCATCCCATAGAAATTTAATGGCCCAGGCAAAACCTGATTTCTCGCTTCGTTTAACTCGTCTCACTTTCTCCACCACTTTCTCCGCATCACTGACCCACCTACAAAAGCAGCCATATCAAGCAAAAGCACAACTATGTATGTAACTTATACAACAAAGTCACTACCCACCCACACACATTTCCTCGACCAAACCACTCTCTAACAGGATGATCATGGGATGACAACGTGGTGAAAGTGGGTATCGATTTTCTTCCCACATCCCAGTTTTAAGCCGAGATGCGATTTAATGCGATTTAATAGAGTCCTCACTTTCAAAGAGGGGTTCATTCGCGAGTCAAACTTTCTCCTGCAACAGACCACAAACTTTCTCCTCTCCGCTCGACAAGCCAACTTTCTCCGGTGTACGTCTGTAGTAGGTGCCTGCCCACCCAAGTAAACACACGCGTCTGAAGAATAAAAGGACTTGCACAATAGAAGCACCACTCCCTGCTCTTTCTCTACAAGTGCGCAGATTTTTTATACGTACGAATATTGAAGGTATGTAAAAACGTTTACTTTGTAATTTTGTAGATTGAAATTTTAAGCTTCTTTGGAACATACATTTTTTAACTGCTTTAAAATCGGGGTACTCATACATATAGCTCTCAAATCTTATAAGTTGAATATGTATATCTAACTTGTACATATGTAGAGTTTATTGAAGTTTGTAAGATTTCGCAAAAAAATCCTGGAAAACTATGAGATTCGTGTACGGAAATTGACAAGGCAAATGGTGGTCACCACCATTTGTACTCAATTATAATTGAGTACATACGTATGTACTTAAATACATGAGACGTTAGTATGCTGAGTAGTTTGCCAAAATTATGGGTACCTCTGAAAAACAGAAATAGTATTTGTAAAATTTCCTATAGACTTTGGAAAAACAGGGAAACTTTAATTAGACGTGGAGAATTAGATAATTTTTCGTTTGCGCAAATTTTATTTTTCTTGTAAAAAAGCGCTAATTCTGTTTTATGAGTATTTGTAAATATGCAATGAGTTTTTAAGCGTTATAAATTCGCAATTACATATGCCGATTTTCAACGTTTTTCTAAATGAATATAAAATTTCAGAAAAATGATGGCCAAACTTGTGCTCCTTTTGCTTGTGAGCGTTTTGCTGGTTCAAAACCTTCATGCTGCCGCATTTGGCAAGACGCGTTCTTTCAACAAGTATTTGTACAAGGCGCAGCCCTTCCGGGAAGAAGGAATTCATCCCTCGTGGTGGAAACGGGCTAGTCTTGCGGATCCTGCAGATGATGAAGGAGACGATGAACCAAACATGATTTCTGAGCGAGCAAGGTGAGAATTTCTTAACGAAATTGTAACGAGAAATCATATTTGTAATTCATGAAACTGTACAAATTTGGCAAAATTATTTTAAAAACTTAAAGCAAAACGCAAGAACAAAATGTGGAAGTTTGAAAAAATTTGTTATTTAACTTTATGCATATTGAAATAATTCCCGGAGGTTTTACTAAAATTTGTAGAATCTGTAAGTTTTGTAAAATAATTTTACAGACTTTTACAAAATAAAAAAACTTGTCTTTGTCTGAGCAACTTTATAGAAAATTTTTAACTGTAATTTTCCTTAAAAATATTTGTAAAAGTTTGTAAGTTAAAGAATTAACGGATTTTACAATGGTTTACCACTTTTCAAAAATGGTATACCATTCTTAGGTTTACTTGCCTCATTTAAATTCAGCAAGACAAATAAATTTAAAAATTTAACATATGTATTTTTTAAGGTGACAAATTTAAAACTTCCAAACTTTTAAGACAGATACTTAAAAATCAATTTATTACTTTTGCAAAATATATGTACATATGTGTAACGTTTCCTAAATTATATAACTTGCATCAGATAGATATATTTTCGAAAGGCTGGATGTCCTGCATGCAGAATGCAAAATTTGTGCGAAAACAATATGCGATAAAACACGAAACTACATAAATGTAAATTCCCCACTTTCAGTCGCCCATTTGGAACTTGTCATCCCAAAAACTGGTGGAAGGTGCGAGACAAGATTTGCATCCCATTCATTTGCGTGATGGATGACGCCGCAAGGAATGAAATTCTACTCAACGATGGCGATTGCGTCTGCATGTTGCCCTACTTCGGGTGCAAAATTTGGCAATAAGTGAGCAAAATTAACAACGTGATTGGTGAAATCAATGTGATTATCAGGTTCGGAAATTATATTTTGTTTGCAAATTAACAAACCTAAGATTTTCAAATTTACGAATTATTTTTCAGGTTTAACTATGGAACTATGGCAATCAGTCAATTTGATGGACAATAAGCAAAAATTTCAATATCTCACTCTCGTGACAATAACAATCAAACTGTGAAACGTAGTCGAAAAAGTAGTTTTCGTCTTTAATGTGATGTCAATAATTATGTAAAAATTGAAATTAGAATTTCGAAAAATCTTATAATAAACAGCATGCCTCAGATGTATACATTGAAATTTAAACTTGTGCAATATTTCTGATGTGAATATTTAATTATTAAACTTCATCAAAATGTGTATATCAAATTATACTTAAATATTTAAATGTGTACATAATTTTATTGAAATTTCTATTTCTAAATTATGTGCCAAATCCTTGATTTAATGAATTGTTTTTGTAAAAACTTATTGTGAACTAAATAATTTACATAGTCAATAAAATGATGATCAATAATTAAATTCTTCTTAATTGTCTTATGTACTTACCTACATACATATTTTGGAAAATGATATTTCATACATATTTATGTACAAGTATTTATGGTTAATGTATTTGTAAATAAAGTTCATGGTTTTTCTTGGGGTAAAAATGTGTCGGGTTTAATATCTATGTAATTACGATGTTTTAAGTAGAAAAAAGTTATCATTCAAAGGCTTTTAACGAGCTTAGAATAATGTTATTGGAAGATATGATTTTTTAATTTTCAAACCCATCATAATTCTTTTTATAAATCTTCCAACGTTGAAAGTTTTATGTACATATGTACATATTCAAATATGTATTCAACGATTCATTTGCGTAAGCCATGTATAGGGCAAGCTCTTGTTTCAGAAGACCAGACGTATTTATATTTCTTCCCAAACATCAAATTAGGGTAGACTACTTAAATTTGTAAGTTATTTTAACCTAACAAACCGTAAGTGGTCGACATATTTCTGTACACATTATTTGAAAGTTGGGTACCAATTAACTAATTAATATGTATGATTCGAACAACTACAGAAATATGTTATTTAGTAATGTTCTATTACTAAATAAAAAGTTCATGCACCAATATGTATTAACTTCAAAAATTCGAAAACAACCGATTACTTTTCTCGTTACTATAATCAGTATGTAGCTACATATTTATGTATTTTCGTAAGTTGATACATACATATATATAAATATGCGCAATTGCGCTAATTGCGTACAAGTAAGCAAGTAAGCCGTTACATACATGACGGTGTCCGTACCAAATAGGTAAGCTTCGGCAGCTGGATTTTGGATTTTCGAATTTCCATCAAAAATAGTTCATAGGGCATGAAATTAGTGTAATAGAGTAAAAGTTTTGAAAAAAAGTATCTCCAACCATCCGTTATGGCTATTTTTGTGAGTTTTGGAAGGGGTTCGTAGTACAGAGATGCTTTCGTCAGTTTTCGAGTTAGGAAGCTGAAATTTCGGATTCTACACCACCTTGAGTGTCTCTTGGCGGCATTTTTCGGCGTTAAGGTCTCATGTCGAAAATGACCTTAAAAACTGTCACTTTTCGCCATCTTGATTTTCCCATGTTGTTATAAGTACAACGTTAAGTCTCACATAGCCCCATAAATGGGGTACCGTGAGAAAGGTCTCGGCAAGTAGATTACAGAATATATATACCTTGTGGGGTCTGGGACCACCCCCTGATATTTTAGAGGGCGATGAGTATTATTGAGTTTTCGTCGGTATTTTGCTATATAAGCTCTCAATCTACTGCTGTGTTAAAGTTTTTACACCAAAACTCGTAACATTCTTTGATTTGTAGAAAATCGGGGGGTGGTCCCAGACCCCACAAAGTATATATATTCTGCCGCCGAGATCTTTCCAACGATGCCCAATTCATGGGGCTATGTGAGACTTTACATTGCACTTACTACAACATGGGCAAATCAAGATTACGAAAAGTGACAGTTTTTAAGGTCATTTTCGACATGAGACCTTAACGCCGAAAAATGCCGCCAAGAGACACTCAAGGTGGTGTAGAATCCGAAATTTCAGCTTCCTAACTCGAAAACTGACGTAAGCATCTCTGTACTACGAACCCCTTCCAAAACCCACAAAAATGGTCATAGCGGATGGTTGGAGAAACTTTTTTTCAAAACTTTTACTCTATTGCACTAATTTCATGCCCTATGAACTATTTTTGATGGAAATTCGAAAATCAAAAATTCAGCTGCCGAAGCTTACCTATTTGGTACGGACACCGTCACATATGTACATGCATGCATACGTACATACGTGTAAATGTCATCGTCTACCCCTTTCTGACGAAAATCATAACCAGAATTTAGCGTACACCCTTTGGCAAAAAAAACCTTTGTTACATATGTACATCCGTATGTACTACTGACTCAGAATTACTTCACCAAAAATTTGATTCCCGCTTCGTATCCCTACCATACTAATAGTATGGGAAGGATACCAGCGCGGGATGGAAAAGAAAAACTGAGTTGATATTACTATGTTTGGTACTAATTATCTCGAATTATTTAATTTTCTAACGATTCTTCCCTAATTTTGAAATGCCTAGTCTAAACTTGTATTTACAAAATGTGTTAGCCAAATTATCCATTTCATTTGACATTTACTTATCAAACTACAAATATATGTAGAAACAAATACAGGAACACATTTATATATACAAATATAGGAACTAATTTGTTCCAAACTTTAAATAATTTCTCACAAGCATATAATTGTCCAAAGCAGCATTTCGTGTATGACCAAACATATGTACAAATACCGTCCCTTGCATGTCTCAGCCAAGCATTTCTCTTTTGATCAGCTATTCTGAATACTCTTAATAAACCTTGTCAAATTTTTCTCCTAAACTATATCCCCTAGAAAATTAAATCATGTCGGAATTCAAAAAAGCCCTTGACGCGCTGGAACAATCAACTGGATATTACTGGACAGCCCCACTTCAATGGGATCACCGCCAGGGGAAACTTGCCTATATTCCTCCAAGCCGAAAATTACTCCCTTGGCTGATGGTTCTCCTGTTGTGCGGGAATCAAATCATGGCGTCCTGGGTGGTCCTTGGATTACAACTATTCGGCCTGGTTAACCTCCCCATGCTGAATATCCTAATAGTCTTTGGAATCGGCGGATTGGAAGGTTTCGCATTTCTTGTCGAAATGGCAAAAGTACTTGCGGGAAAATTAATTGCCTTTGTTTTTGGTGAATTGCTCAATTTGGAAAAACAGTGGAAAGAAGGTTAGTAAAAAGTTGTATGCATGCATGATACCTGTTCGAGAAGTACATATTTATTCTTTAGAAATTTGTCCATTTTAAAGATTGGAAAAATATTCACTTATTCAAAATTTGGGTATAAACACTAATTTAGCTTTCATTATTCATTTTGTATTCATTTTATCTCGAATTCCCCTAATCAGATTAACATCTCAATATATCCCATGTATGAAACATATGATGAAAAATGAATGATGAATAAAACTATTCATCTTCATCAATATGAAATGAATAAATATTTATTCATTCAAAAATTTTGGAAAAATCACTAATTCATTATTTATTCATTTATTTATTTTTCACCAATGAATCCGTGTGAACAGGTACACTCAAAACAAAACGGTGTCAATATATGATTTAACCGCCTTGGTTACAATTGTGATTCCGAGTAGTAATGAATTTTTTCCGTCCGGTCATAACATGATAACAACCGGTATCAAAATCATCAAAACTCGGATTCAACATTGTAACCAAGGCGGTTAAGTCATATATTGACACCGGCGGTGTTGATTCGACAAATTTTTATTTTGAGTGTAGGTATGTAACAATTTTACATCATTCAACAGTAAAACGGGTTAAAAATCAAACTCCAATTTTTCAAAAACAACAGATATTACGAATTTCGTTAAATGATGTAAATTTTTTTGTCGTGCTCTATGGGCCGCTTGGCCTGAAAGAGTGGTGAAATAAAGCAATACAATACAATGTAACTACATATTTTATCGGAAAATAGCTAAATTAAACACTCAAATATCTTACCCACAGACTTGCAAAATCCTAAACAAAAATCATCCGCATCTCGGCTTGGAACATATCTCATCTCAATTTACTACTACCTCTCTATCTTCCCCTATCTCGCGGTCCCATTTGAAATCTACTTCAAATTAGACCAATTCACACAAATTTATGAGTACCTCCTCTCCACAAAAACTTTCCCGGTTGGCGGTATTGTGCAAAAATTTGCTAAAGTGACTCTTTTTCAGCTTCAACTCCATACTTTGCTGTATCTTGACTTGTGGTGCGATTTCTGGAATTTTGACAATCTTGACAATTGTTGGGACCGTTATTCTCCAATGCTTGTCACATTTTGCAAATTGTATGAAAAAGAATTGCGACTCGTCGAAATCAAACAAAATATTAAAAAGTTATACCATTATAGAAATAATTTTGGCCATTACGCACGAAATGGTGAGTTCTTTTGTCCTCGTCTTAATGACGGTGGGTTCAGTAGCGGGAATTGTTTGTAATTTTATGACGATTAAAATGCACCACAAAATTCCAATGCCGTTCTACCTATTGTTTCCCTCGATGGCGGTAATTATTGGGATAAGTACTCAAATTCTACTCCCTTTCGCGGTTAACGTGTATGAAGTGGCCAATTTGCTTAAACAAGGTTACAAGAAAAATGTGCATTTTGAGGGGGACATGAAATATATGAAGAGAAGGGTGCGAGCAATTAAGGTGTTGCGCGTGTACGGTGGTCTGTTTCAGTTTGACATGTTTGGCTTGAAAAGATCGACAAAGTCCACGTATTTTGATAATATTTTGAGTTATACGATAAATTTGTGCTTGACTGTAGATGTTTAGGTATAAATATGTACATGTGCATCTGTGTGCACAGAAATATGTACAAATGACTAAATTTATAATTTGGTGCAAAATTACTTTGTTTGCCCTTATATTTCGGTACCGGTGGTTATTTATATTTCTTATGTAAATGTATGCATGTATTTACTAATTTCTACGAAGTCACAGATGACGGATATTCATGTCTGTAGAATACGATATCATGAATTACAAAAGTTTAGTATTTATGCACATTTATGTATGTAAGTGCGACCAATATAACAATTTTGGTTCATTGCTAAGTATTTGTATTTACGTATTTATTTATTTACAAATCCACATATTTATTTTTCAAATTTGCGCGTTCGT